CTCGACGCTCAAGACCGAGTTGTGAATAATCATTGTGTTTCGGTCAGGGATGACTCTGTAATTGCGCCTCCACACTCGTATTTAGGTCGGGGACAAGAGCATGTGTTTGGCGTGGTCGACTTGTTATGAAGGATTTTCCTTAGTTGATTCATTCTCTGCTCGTCTTAATGCGAATGCTCTTTTGGGATCCACATTTGCGGGGGAAGCGTAGATTTTCCCTGTGCTTGTATTCTCGACGTGCCCGTAAGCAAGGTGCCACAATGATGTCAATCATATGTTCTCCAATGGAGATGAAACGACATCAATGCATGATTTCACGCGTGAAATTTTAAAGGTAGTGGTGCATCACTTCGCGTGCCACACGTGGCGGCTATTTAAAGTGCCATCATTGCCTAGGGCATTCTAAGAGCCTAAACAATAATGACATCTAGCATGCTACCCTGTGCGGTGGGGATTAGATATAAAAAGAGAGTGATGATATTTACTTAGACATTTTCAAGTTTGTTCTCATGTTGTCTCCTCTTCATTCACAAGCTGCTCTACTGCTGCTGCCGCCACCGTAGAATTTCTCAGTGTTCATCCCTTTTTCAAGTAAGTGACTCTCTTCCACTTATTAATTTATCTTAGGATTTTAGATTAAACGCATAGTTTCAGGTAGATATAGGATTTCTGATGAATCTCCTTGCAAATGTGTGAATTTTCCTATGAAATTCATGAGTTTCGGATGGAGATTCATGGATTTTAGGATGAAGATCGATGAACTTCATATGGTTTTAGACGAAATTCCATGAATCTTCATATGGGTTCATGTCGGGGATATTCTCCCCGTGAACTAGAGGGGTTCGAGGACGTCGCTTTGTCAATGAAATGCCTCTGCGTGATTTTATGCTTATACGAGAACGTCGCTTTCCTTCGTGGATGCCATTAAGGGCTTGAGTCGAGGATCTACCCTCGAGGCGCTCCTCGCCCTTTCACTGGATTTACAGTGAAAGGGTGAATTTGATGATGTCGAATTCACTATTTTCCCCTGTTTTTCAGGTACGATAACGCAACTGGTTGAAGGAGTTGTTCTGCTCAACTCAAACAGCAGGGAAAATGTAGGTACAAGCAACCTCCTAGCTTGGATCGCGCCCGAGCTCAGAAATACAATGTCTCAGTTCACTAATGATGCCTTTGACACGTTCAATGTCGTTGAGGAGAAAGAAGATGATGGCCACACTTCCTGCTCGATCCTCATTCCGCACAAGGACAAGAGGATCTGCTCGACTTTCCCGGGAAAATGCTTCCCTATGTATAAGTTTTCCTTTAAGGAAGCAGGGGATGCGTTTTCCCTTTACGGATTTCCAGGTGGGTTTTTTTAAGTGGCTAGACCTGGCACTATCTCAACTCCACCCCAATGCGCTCGGGTTCATGCGGGCATTTGAGTTTGTTTGACAATACCTTAAGATTGGTGCTTCCCTGACACTATTCTTCCGAATATTCCATCTCCAATGGCAGATTGTCGAGGGTCTTCAGGCTTGGGTGTCGTTCAAGCAGTTTTGAAAACTGTTCTGACCGTACCTGGAATCTGTTAGGAATTTCAAGGATAGGTACTTCTCGTGAAGCCTATTTCAGACACGACAATGGACTTTTTGTACAACCATTCAGAGGAGGTTAAGGATGGTCGAAAACTGATGCAGTTAAGGGAGAAATTTCCCCTTGAGTGGCAGTGGAAACATTTTGAGCAGAAGCCACAACATTATGCAGTAAAGCCTGAGGCGTTGGACGCTCAGGATATGCATGCTTATGATAAGCTAGCGGCCTATGTCAAAAGTTTCTCCCCTGCTAAATGTGTGGACTCAGACAATAACTTTAATTTTGATGATGATGGGGAGCATATCTATGTTTCCTGATTGATAAACACAAGCATTCCTCGAATGTTCTTCTGACGAGGAGTCTTTGAGACTCCTATGTAGGGAGCGCGCCCATAATTGATATTTGTCTATTTTGTTTCGTAGACTAGATGCTTCCTTTTTGGATTGTAAGTCGAATGGCGACTATCCTGGAACGTCTGCTCAAGTTGAGGCCCAAGGGTGTAAAATTTTTTCCCAAAGGACCTGCTATTGAGATCTAGGAACAGGCTAAGGTTGATGTCCGTCCCGACAGATCCTCTTCTCCTCAAGGTGACCAGCTTTCTCCCCCTGAATAACCCGTAAAAAGGAAGCGTGGAAAGATCCAGAACACGTGGTTATTTCATTTAAGGGCAAGAATGTTGGGGATCCCTTTGTGTTTCCCCCTATTATCTCAATTGTGGTATCTTTCACGGGGATAATTCTTTAGGTTTCCACGAAGGGGAGAGGGAATCTATTTTGTCTGCATACAAGGAGACCCGATGGAAAAACATGTCTGAGAATGTGGCCTCTATAATGACGGTTCTTGAGACTGCTTTGACCCTAAATTACGCGGCGACGTGCTCACAGACCACTCTCGATAAAGAAAATGCTTGAATCTCCAAGTTGAATAGGCATAATGAAAAGCTTAAGAATGATATTATTAATCATCAGACAAAGTATGAGGCCTAGGTCGAGCTCCTCAAGGAGTTGAACAAGCTAAAAATGAAAATGGATACCATGACCAAGGAGAATGAATGACTAGTCGCCCGGGTAAAGGAGCTGGAGGGGATCGTTGCACCTGCCGATGAGGAAATTGACACGAAGAAGGCTCTTCAGAATAGGAAAGAGCTAATTGCCCGAATTCATCTGCTTGTGCAGGATGTCGTGGATACCCTTTATTATGGATTTAACACCGCCTTAGAGCAGCTCAAAATTATCACAGTAGGGTCAAGTTCGTGACTGAAGGAACTGGGCCTTTCAAACAAGTGGTCGATTGGAAGACAATTTATCCTCCCGATGATAATCCTGAAGAGGAAGCGGATGGTAAGAAGGATGGGTGTGAATACTAGCTATGTTTTGGGTTTGCATGCCCGTATGATTACCCGGCCCATGTGTAAAAATTTTGTTAATGTTTTGGACAAGGGGCTTTGCCCGTTTTTTGTATATCTGCCTTTAGTTTATGCATGCGTGCCCCTCTTTGGTAATGTATAAACAACACCAACTTTTGTGGTCGGCCTTTGAATGTTTTTACTTTTCCCGTATATTTTGTGTTTAAATATTCTATCATTGTGTTTTACATGTTTATTTTGTGAAGTGTGGAAATTTATGCTTGACCTTACTTATAGTCGACACGTATGGAGACGTGACGAAGAGGCTGATTCGGACTCCATTTGGACGAGGTCAAGGTCGCGGTCGGGACCTTGATTTGTGGCGTAAATTTCCCCATCGTGAGTTGGGTGTTCTACCGGTTTGATACTTTGACAACGGAGCTCGGACGAGGTGTCCCTGTCGGACTAGGGTTTCGCTCGTCCAATAAGCGAATATCTACCTTTTGTTATTAATTGAAGGTTATGTTTGTACCTCAACATGCGTCTGTGGTCGAGAGAGCCCTGTCATTTGTTGGAGAAGGTACGTCGACTGTTAGGCCTTGGCGTTTATTTGAGACTTAATTGTAATATTGTTTTAGCTTTATAGTGTTCCATGGTCAATGTAGTTGTTCTTTAATTAGGTATTTGAGGTAATATGCCATTTTGCCCGTCGTGCCACGAACACGATAAGGTCCTTCCCATTTGGTGGCTAGCTTTCCTTCACGGGAATCTTTCTGATTTCCCCGTAAGACTAGACTGCCGACTTGGAATTCACGTTTTATGATTTTGGCATCATGTCGTAGAGTTATATGTTGTTTCAGCGTGGCCTCACGAAGAGATGCCCTCGATCAAATCTCTTCAACCAGGTCGAGCTCTTCCCTCATAGCCTCGTTGTTTAGTTCCTCATCAAGGTGGAATTCGGTTCACATAGATGGTTCCATGATTTCCATGGGGATGACCGCCTCGGTACCATAAGTAAGTCGGAAAGGAGTTTCCCCAATTATCGAGTATGGTATCGTCCTGTAAGCCTATAGTATGTTGTGCAACTCTTCTACCTACCTCTTTTTGGCTTCACCTAGCACGCGTTTGAGTCTTTGCAAGATGACTATATTCACAGCTTCAGCTTGCCCGTTCGTTTGAGAATGTTCGACAGATGTGAAGTGTTGTTTGGTGCCAAGCTTGGCGATGAAATCTCAGAAGCTTTGATCGGTAAACTGCATCCCATTGTCGGTAACGAGCGCTTGTGGTATGCCGTACTGGGCGAGTACATTTCTCAAGGAGAAACAAAGTATGTTATACAATGTTATTTTTACATAATACGAAAAATGATATTTCTTACATAATTTTTTCTACTACTGTCTACATAAGAATCACAAATACATTTACGATTCTATTCCATAATTACATTTGTGATTTTAATTAATATTCAACCAAAAAAGATGGAATGTTTTTTTCAAATAATCATTTTTTTCAAAAAAATTTCTCAAATAACTACTTTTTCAAAATTTTTACCAAAATGACAATTTTTCAAACCAAAAAATTTCGCCACACAGAAGAGTAGCCACTCTGTGTGGCGCATGCATTTTTAAGAGGAAGCGCCACACTGCATGACTTGTTCTCCTCTGTAAAGTCATGCAGTATGACACATGCATGTATTTTTAGAGAGGAGGCGCCACCCTCATTGGTTTGACAATCTTTAAAAACACATGCATGCGCCACACTGCATGATTTTACAGAGGAAGATAAGTCATGCAGTGTGGCGCCTCCTCTTAAAAATGAATGCATGCGTCACACAAAGTGGCTACTACTCTGTGTGGCGAAATTTTTTCGTTTGAAAAATGATCATTTTAGTAAATTTTTTGAAAAAGTGATTATTTGAGATTTTAAAAAAAATGATTATTTAGAAAAAGAAATAAAAAAAAAAGTGTGTCGAAAATAAATTTCAAATTGCGCAAGACATTTTTAAAATTACATAAAAAAATCCCAATTGCGTATTTAAAAGAAGGTGTTACTCGGAAGCAGAGGTACGAAAGCATCAAGGATGGCGCCGAAAAGAAATCAGAAGCTGAGCAGAAAGGCTCCTCAGTCATCCTCTTCATCAGCTCCCAAGTTACAAATTTCGGCGGAAAACGAGAACCGCCTCCGGCGCCTCTTGCTGAACTCTGGCCGTCCCACCCCTGCGGCCGACGATACCCTAACAAAGGATCAGAAAGCGAAGAAGCTCAAAGCTGTTTACGAGAAACTCTCTTGCGAAGGATTCATTGATCATCACATTGAGCTTGCTCTCTCCGCTCTCAAGGTACCACCACCAAACTTACTTTATTACCCTTACCCTGCCTTTCTTAAACTTTCCATTCATTCGATTTGTAGGAATCTACTACATTTGAGTCAGCTCTTGATTGGTTATGCCTCAATTTGCCCGGAAATGAACTTCCACTCAAGTTTTCCACTGGGACTTCCTCTCATTATAATCAAGGTGTGTGGAGATTCATTCTCTTGTGTTTATAATGAATGCCCGCTCCAACTTTGGAGATTCATTGTGTGTTTATAATGCCTCTGCAGGGGGTTCTGTCGGTGTCATATTAAACCAACACGATACTTCAACTTCCTCACTGGATCCATCCATCACAACAACTAAGGACCAAGTTCTAGAATCTCCTCTCTTAATCAAGAGACACTTGAATAATGATACTTTAAATTCTTGCCAATCCTCACAAGCTGATTGGATTAGGCAATATGTCGAGCAGCAGGAAGAAGAGGTGATTTAACCATGTCATTCATACATTTCAGATTATCCTCTACCACTTGATTGCGTCATCTCTGATGATGTACCAATCTTAACCGTGTGGTGTTTGCAGGATCAAGATACGTCTTGGGAAGATGACCCTTTTTACCAAAGTAGTGCTGCAAACAAGGTATTTTTCTTTTTCTTCAACATTAATAAACATTTGCCTATTCATTCAACATAAACTCTCTCCAACTTTATGATTTTTGTAGGATCTTACAATCCCACAATTTATGATCTTGGTCTCCCCTTTTCCATCTTAAATAAAATATTATATTTTATCTACCATGTTCCAAGAGTTTATGATATATTTTTCTCTCTTATTAGCTCCGTGAACCTAGGCCTTATGATGTTATTGCCAAGGAGTATCTTGCTGCAAGATTCGAAGCTACAAAGGCAAAGGAGAAAAAGGACAAAAAACATCAGCAGCAGGCAAGCCTTATCATACGAAAACTGAAACAGGAGTTGTCTTCTCTAGGTTAAATTGAATTTTATTTTTCTTTATCTATTTCAATATTTTTTTGTGATATTCAATTCGTCTTAGTTGATTGTACAAAACATTGAGCAGGATTATCAGATGACACTTTGGCTTTAGAATACGAGCAAATCAGTACTAACCATGCATCTGAGAGAGCATCCATGGGCCATGAGCCTTTGACAGACGAAGCATCAGGTGATGGAGAAAGTAATTCAGCCATTATTCAGCCTTCTAATGGGGGAGCAATAAATGGAGGTGATGTGAAGCTTCCTAGAGTGGAGGAAAATCTTGCTAATTCTTGCTTGCATGCTAGTCATGTTGAAAAAGACTCTACACAAGAAGTTACCGAAGACATTGAGCTTGGCGGTTTCTTCTTGGAGAATGTGCCGTCTAATGAAATACACTCTGATATTTTGAAAGCACAAAAACTAGAAAAAATCAAAAGATTATCTGAGAAGAACTTGGATAAGTTAGATGGCATTTGGAAGAAGGTAAGTTTCTTAGCTACATTTCATGACTATCTTGATGAAGTTTAATGCAATCCACATGTCTTCCAATTACTCTCAATATCTTTTAGCAACATGGAGTTTGAAGTCTTAGAGTTGTAAAGTAAGGATTACCCCCACCTATAAACATATGTTTTAGGCCATATCTTATCTGATGTAAGACTCTTTAACACACCCGTCATGCCTAGCACTATTGGACTTGGTGCTTGGAGATAAATGGTGGGTGGTTCGACAGTGAAAACCGGATAGTAGGTGGTCCAACGGATCTTAGATAAACTCTGATACCATCTTAAAATTCTAGTTGAGCCTAACTTAACTCTACGAAACCGACTTGTAAGATAAGAATTGCTCTCACTTATAAACATATGTTTAGGCTATCTTATCCAGATGTCAAGGAAGGTGGAAGAGATGCTTTCATGGATTTTCATGATGACATTTCTCTCTTTACATTTTTTTAGTATTTTATTTTTCAATATTTTCTAAATAGTAAAATAAAATGCTTCATGAACCCGTACTTGAATTTAGAACTCTTGTTTTGAGATATGATTATGTTTTTTCTTTTATTTGGTGTAAATCATGGTCTTTTTAATGTGGTTTCGCTAACCATATATGGCGAGCGATCGGTTTTGACTTTGTCTTTTTATTTCGGGTTGGTTTTTGGTTTGGTACTTTGTTTAGGAGGGTTCCTTATCCCCCACATGTACTTTTTCACCATTCATCTTAACGAGTTGTTCTTTTGTAAATAATTATGAAGTCGTTTGTTTCCAAGCATGTCATATGTTTTTCCATGTGAATATATATCTTGATATGATCTGACAATAATTATTCCTTACTTGTTACAACCTATCTATGGATAGGGAGACCCTCAAAAGGTTCCAAAGGCTATTCTTCATCAGTTATGCCAGAAATCAGGATGGGAAGCTCCAAAATTCAATAAAATACTTGGCAGAGGAAAGAGTTTTTCCTATACTGTAAGCATATTGCGTAAAGCTAGTGGGAGGGGAAAGAGTCGAAAAGCCGGAGGGCTGGTAACACTTAAGCTTCCAGATCAGAATGAGATCTTTGAATCTGCAGAGGTGAGTAATCCATATGCCCATTAAGATTCTATGGTTGAGAAAAAGGTGAGAGAGATATGAAATTTGATCGGATACTGTATTCAATGTTCACTAAGTAATTGACAGTGTAAATAAAGCTTTTGTAGATAGGTTATGGTTTACAAGAAACTACAAAGCTGATACAAACAGTTACACAACTTAACATCAATAGCTACAACTAGGCAAAACCCTTCCGCTGTCCTTTATCTAAATTTATTGTAACAAATTAGTCCTTTAAACTTTTTTAAAACTTTTTTCTTTCCTTCCAAATAGGTCATTTAAGTTATGTAACGTTAACGAATTCATATCATTAATTTTAGGCAAATTGTTCTCCTGGTCCTTTATCTAATTTTATTGTACCAAATTTGTCCTTCAGCTTTTTCTCTCTTTCAAATAGGTGCTTTAAATTTCGTAGCATTCGCAAGGTCGTATAATTAGTTTTAGGCAAATTGGTTTTGTGGTCCTTTGGCTTTAAGTTGTTTTACTGTAAGAAATTAGTCTTGTATTTTCTAAAATTGGTCTTTAACTTCATAACGCTAACGAGATTGGCCGGCCGTTACAGTGTTGATGCAGATGTTATGGAGCTGATATGAAATGTTTAACTAGTTGTTTAGAGAAAAAACCAGAATAAATTTAAATGAATAATTTTAATTTTTATATTTTATATTATAAATAGGAAACCCTAAATTAAAATTAGTTAGGGTTCTTAAAGCCCATTCAATTCCAGACATTTTACAGTAATCCAACTTATTTTGAAGCAGAACTGCCTGGGTTATATAAAGATGGGGACAAACTTTGTATTCTTCCTTGCAGAAGAACATTGCATTTTTCCCTTAATTTTTCTTTTTAAAAAGCTGACCCCACTTAGTGGATAAGACTTGGTGGTTGTTGTTGTTTTTAATAAAAAGTTACTTTAAAGAATTTGTTCTTTTTACTAAAAGCTTAGTTGGACATTTCAGATCACCTCTCATCATTGTAATGGTCACATATGTTTTTTTGACGGAAATTCTAAAATAGGCCAACATTGTTAAGTTAGGAAAGTTGAAGGACCTTTTTGAATAAAAGAAGATAAAAGACTAAATCGTTACACTGTAATATGAGATAAAGGACTGCGAGAGGGTTTTTGCCTAACAGATATAAGTTATAACTAACACCTATAGATGGAGCTGTCAGCTGAGAGATAGCTAAGCTGATGCAATCCTCTCTGTGAGCTGAGGGAGCAAGACGCGTCTGTCCTGGCTCCTATGGACTTTCACACGATTCTTCCCTAGGTCAATGGTAGCATTAATGCATTCAAAGTTTTTGGACAAAATTCTTGTGCACTTTCATCGTCTTATGCGAACCAAGTCGCGACGACTGTGACCTGAACTTTGCAACATATTTCTGAAGAATTGTATTTTCTCCGGCTTCAAAGCCATAATCAGTTCTCTAGCAGCTGTTGGTGACTCAATTTTAAGCTGATGTCTTGCTTGAAGATTTGCCACAAAAATACAATTGAGTTATCTCACTAATTGAGAGTAGAATTCATCTAGCTTCATTTGAAGAAGCTCAATCTATAATGTTTGCGCAATTACTTTCATAACCAACTCTGTTCTCTTTATAAACCTGAGCTCAGTTCTCAGCAAGTTAGAATTTCATAAAACAATTTAACAATTTCAGTTTCATTATCTGTTAACTCTGTTTTTCCCCTCAAACTCTAGATCCAAATCTATTACTGAAAAGGTTGTACTAGATTTACTTGTATATGTGTGGACTAGTGTCTCTCTTCACGTTTAACACAGAAAGTAAACAATGGAGTTGATTATTATATATTTATGTAAAATGTTTGGAAGAATACACTAGTTTTTCATTTATGGGAATTGTTTTCTGTGGATACAGTATTTGCAGTGTTTACTTGATTGCAGGACGCACAGAATAAAGTGGCTGCATATGCTTTGTCCCAACTATTTCCTGATGTCCCAATTCATCTTGTAATTACCGAGCCTTATGCGTCAGTTTTTATGAAGTGGATGGAAGGTAAGACTTTTTCTTTTGATGTTTTATTGAACTTTGATTTCTTTGATTCTGTATTGCTACTGTCATGTTATTAGTATGATTCTTTTGATACTTGGGTTGAATGTTTTTAGTCCTAATAAGACATCTCTCATGTAAGTTTAGTTCTTATAATTTTATATATCCACTTTTAGTTTCCACCTTTTACAAAAACTGAGTGGTTTTAGTTCCTAACTAATGCCTTTTTTGTAAAAGGTGAGGCTGGAAATGAAAACTTTTTTTTAAGGTCTAATTGTCTTAACTTAAAAATGTGATTTTGTAGAGACTAAAAACATACTTAACTCTTTAACACTTTAATATAAAAGTTTCTTAGAAGATATGAATTTTAAAACTTACAGGGGAATCGTTAAACAAACTAGAAGACAACGTGGAAGATCACAAGTCTCGTTTTGTGGAGTCATTATTAAGTGGCGATGGTTCCGCTGAAACTGCATCTGCTGATGTTATAAACGATAATTTTCCTCAAAACATCGGTAGAGTTGATGAAAATAAAAGTTCAACCACTGAAAGTCATCAATCATTTGTGCAGAGTAGGTTATTCCACTTTTTTTTTAAATCTAAATCAATTTGGATTTGTAGTCGTATATCCTTTTATTTTCTGCTTATTTTTTGTGATTGATGTTTTTTTAAATCAGTCTGGCCATTTTTCAAACAAAATGTTTCTTTGTAAAGTTGAAAATATAAATATCTCTGTGCTCAGTGTTTGAAAGAAACATTTAGATATGGTAAGTAGAAACGGTTTATAAACACTACCCATAACATGTGTTTTCAGTGCTTAGAATTTTTTTCTTTTAGAAATATTTGTGGGTATATTGTATGTAGCTCTTAGAATTTTGAGTCGGTCTAAACTCTGTCTCACAACACCGATCTGTAAGGTGAGGGAGGTGAGGGTTGCCCAAGCTTCATAAATCCTACCCAAACCATATCTCTAAGAAATGTGAGATTAAGTCCATTCCTTCACATCCAACACAATAAAGGTGTTGGAGGCTGCAATGAAGGCATCCCAAATACTGCAATTAGTAGCTAGGGGAGGACCACAATGAAAGCAAAATTTTCAAGACACCACGTCACGCTTGGGCCCATGAGTCTGAAGCGTGGACGATGCAGGACACCCAACAGATCTAGGACAGATTCTAATACCATCTTATACGATGCGGGACACCCAACAACAGATCTAGGACAGACTCTAATGCCATCTTATAATTTTTGGATGCAGGAAGCACAACATCAGATCTAGGACAGACTCTAATACCATCTTAGAATATTTGGTTGAGCCTAATTCAATGTTATAAAACTGACGTGTAAGGTGAAAGCAACCAACTTGTAAGGTGAGGGTTGCCCAAGCTTTATAAACACTATACTAGCCATATCACTATACTAGCCATATCTCTAAGAAATGTGAGACTAAATTCACCCTTCACACCCAACCCAACACAATGAAGGTGTTGGAGACTGCAATGAATGCTCAGAAGATTTTTTTACAAACTCAATACTTCAATACCTTTCGATTTTGATAGTAATTGAATAATAATTACAAATAAAATGGTCAAAGTTTAAATGGGTGTCACCTTTTGACTGTCGTGACTTTAAAATTTCATTATGCAGGAGGAACTTATATTAAGGAATTGGAGAGTGCTAATTTGAGACAGGTGCAATACACTAAAATGGGGTCGCAAAGATACCAGGTTCGCATGTATTTGTTTGACTTCTTATAACGACTAGTTGTTTTCTTTATAGTTGTATTAGCACTCCATATGTCTCATAAATTCAGAGGGAAAAGTGATAGAAAGTATAAGATTGAGATGAGTTGTCAAACTCGAGATTTTGCCTAGTAATATGAAAAACCCAAGTCCCACATTTAAAAGAGAGAAGGCCTGAAACAATTGTATAAAGAGTGACATCACTCTCCTTACAAGTCAATTTTGTAATGATGAGTTAAATCCAATATAAAAACATAATATGGTCTAAAGAACTTATCCATCCATATCACCCACCAAATTAACCATGCACCAAATCCAATAATATTGGACGTTAGGGAGTGTATTGGAAAAATCCAACTCCTATATTAAAAAGAGATAAAGCTTGAACAAAGTTTATAACGAGTATACATTTCACATTACAAAAGCCGATGGATCATAAGATCCTACCTCAAATGCAAAATAATATATGCATGCAAACACTAAGTTAATTAAAAATTTATAATAACAAAATTAAGATTCAAAACACAACACACAATTAAGGTTCATAAAACAGTCCCACAACATAAGTTCATAATCAATAAATCTCTAGAAACTACAATTCTAGATATCTAGTTTAGGATATTATTCAATCATCATTTGGGAAATTCATGATCATCTTCCATATGATCTTCATTCTCATCAATGGAATTTATATGTCCATCTTCATCAACATTAGTTTAGGATATTATTCAATCATCCTTTGGGAAATTCATGATCATCTTCCATATGATCTTCATTCTCATCAATGGAATTTATATGTCCATCTTCATCAACATTAGGAACCTCGATTCATTTGCACCACCACCACCACCACTAATTTCTACAACTTCAACCAAATAATCTGCAATTGGAGCATCTAAATCCAAATTTTTACATTATGCACAATCCAATCAGCATAAAAAGATATTCTCAATATTATAATTAATTGCATTTCTAACTCGCTTTTTGTTGTTTATTTTTGAATTAACCATCACAAATACCACATCATTCACTGTCTCTTGCTTTAAACAATTATTATTAATTTGGACCTAAATAATTATAAAATCAATTGAAACATAATTAACTAAGCAATTTATAGCACAAAATACAGAGGCACTCCAATTATACGACAACCAGATGGACTATGTCAAAAACTTCATGCTCTAATAGCTAATATTTTTAGTTTGAAACGTCCATCGCATAAGATTACTGTTAATTATTTGTATATATAGAATATTCTATAAAATATTCCTCAGTATATCTAGAATTGAATATAATATACCGTAGCATATTTCTTATATAATTAATATGATGAGGTGTAAATTTCACTATATAATACAACCTCCGTAGTGTTATTCAGACACACAGTTGCCACCACCATTGTTTTCGGCAACTTTCTGACAAACCAACACTATTGGCAGGAATGCCTCCTCAGATTCGGTCATTTCCCAAAGTCACCGCCAAAAGCCTCCACACGTGGGCCTCACGCGCAACAACCTAACCCGCGCGTGACATCGTGTTCGGTGGCCGATTCCGGCTACGTTTCCGTCGCCCCACTCGCCTTCTTGTCTCTGTTCCAGACCCGACCTTAGATTTTATTTTCCACTCGCGAAAAGTCGTGCTTCAGTCCAAACAACCCATATCTGTGCGATATTTCTCTTCCTTCAGATAGTCATGGTTGGTCCTGGTCCTGGTCAAATTACGATAATTGTGCCGGTGATATCAAATTATTGGTTCATGACCAAGGCTACGAGGGTCACCTCATCCCAAAATCCGACACAACGGGTGCAACTGAAAATCCGAAATGGAAACCGATTGATGCTCAACTATGCAGCGTAATCAAGTCCGCTCTTCATCCCGATCTTCCATCCCCATATCACGTGTGAATCGGTTTGGACGCAGGCGAAACAACACCACTCGAATGACACTCAATGTCTTTATGGAGTGTGTCACATATTGTTGAATATTATTACTCCGAAAAAGATTGAGGGGTCTATGCAAACATATATCAACGAAGTTTATAGTGCACTCCATGATATTAATGAGTTCCTACCTCCTGTTGAATGCACCACAACTGAACAAGAGAAGTCACGTGAACAACGCGACACCCTCCTCATGCTTATTTCTTCTACATGGTTTGCCTCAGGAATGCTCTGCCATTCGTGATCAGATTTTTAGTTCTGTTATGGTACCAAATCTGTTAGCTGCCTATGCTATCCTTCTTTGAGTACCTGCAAAGCAATCACTTGAGCCTCTTACCGCCCCTGCACCAGAAGGCACTGTTTCCCTTGCGTCCCTTAACAACAAACAAAATTACATTCGAGGAGGGCCATCCAACTCCAAATCTCGTCCCAAGTGTGAACATTGTAATCGACTTGGACATACTATTGATCGTTGCTGAAAATTGCATGTCAGACCTTAATGCCAAGTGAATGCGACTCAAATTGATCATTTAGATATTCTTCAAATCTCACATACTCCTCAAAGCTCTACACCAAGCTACGATGATTTCATTATGGGGTGTTAAAATAATTAGAACTCTGGTTCCACTGCTTCGGTTGCACACACTGATAATTCATTTGTTTTCCTTTCTCAAGTATCTTCTCTTGGCCCTTGGGTCCTTGATATCGGCACGTTTAATCATGTTACCGGTAATGAAGGTTTTTTCTCTTCCCTCTCTACCTGTGATTTCTTACATACTATACTTCTGCAAATGGTTCTCAAACAGGATCCGAAGGGATTGATACTATTCAAATTCCACCTTTTCTCTCTGTTACTTATGTTCTCCAGGTACCTAATTGTCCACTTAATTTACTTTGAGTCATTCGCTTAACTCATTCTCTTGATTGTATTGTCATCTTCACAAATAGTAATGTTACCCTATAGAATCGGCGTTCGAGACGTGTCTGATGTGAGTCTCAAGGGCCTTTACTACCTTTCTATGTCATCTAAGACATGCTTAGTCACAATTTGTCCACTAACTATCCACGCTAAGTTAGGTCATTCAATTTTTCACAAGCTACAGAAATTGGTGCAAAGTTTATCCCTATGTTTGTAGTGGTCTAGAAGGGGGGGGGGGGGGGGGGGGGGGTTGTGGTCAACCGTAGGGATATCTAGTGGGCTAGGCTCCATAAACTGATAGGGAATAATGGTAGACGAGACATTAATACTTTCCGAAAGAGGTGTGAGAGTAATTTTTTTGAAGGGGTTCCGAAGTTACGTGGTTGGACTGGAAATATGGAACAAACTCGAAGAAGGTAACATTGACCGATATGAGGTATCGTTGTAGAGTTGAAGAATAACAACAATAACCTTTTTGGGATCGATGATAATCAAGAACGACATACTTGAGTTCAAGCTGATAGTTTATCAAGTCCATGAGAGAAGAATCTGCGCCTGAACATGTTGTAGATGATACAGAGAGGTAGTAAAGGCCTTGAGACTCACATCCGGCGCAAATCGTCTGTCCCGAATGCCGGTCCTGCAGGGTAAAATTACCGTTAGCGAAGGTGACAATACAATCAAGAGAACGAGTTAAACGACTGACTGAAAGTAAATTAAATGGACAATTAGGTACATAGCGAACAAAAGTAATAAAGAGTAGGTAGAATTTGGACAATACCAATCCCTTCAGATCAGGTATGAGAACTATTTGCAGAAGTTATAGTAGGTAAGAAATCAGAGGGAAGAGAAAAAATCTTTATTATCGGTAACATGATAAGACGGTCTAGAATCAAGGACCCAAGGGCCAAGAAAAGATGACTGAGAAAGACAAACAAATGAATTACCAGTGTGTGCAACTGAAGAAGTGTAACAAGAGTTCTGATTATTCTGACACCACCTGATGAGTCAGTGATGTCTGAAGAATGTCTGAATGATCAATTTTAACCGCATTCACTTGGGTGCAGGTTTGCCATGCATCTTCTCGCAACAGTCAATAGTACGCCCAAGTCGGTTACAATGCTCACACACGTGTCAAGGTTTGGAGTTGAATGACCTTCCTCGAATGCGATTTTGATTGTTACCAAGGGACGCAAAAGCAGAAGTGTCACCCGGTGCAAGGCCAACAAGAGTTGGATGGGTAGCAAGAGGCTCAAATGATTGTTTTGTTGGTACTCGAAGAAGGATAATAGAGGCTACCGACATTTATTTATAATTTATTAAAACAGACTCCCGACTTATTTTTTTGACATCTCATCAGTTTTGTGCCACATAATATCATTTGTGCCACATCATTCATTTTCTTATGTGTCATTTATTTTTTATAATGCTTTACAACCACAACTCTCATATTCTTCTTCCATTGTTTCTTCTTTGGTGCCACACTTTTCATATCTCTTTTTTTTCGTTACTTAATTTTATTTATTCCATTAAATCATATTAAAATTATATATAATATATTCATCTAGCCTATTTAATATGTAAGTTATCAAATTAATTTACCTACTAAATTGTATCTATTTGTATTTACCTATGCTATTTATCCTCAATATCACCTGTATAACTTTTCATTAGATCTCTCTATTCTACCTACATCCATAACTAACTAAAACAGTGAAGCAAATAATAGAGAATCAGATTTCAAATAGTTATACATAAGAATTGATAGTATATAACAAAGCTATGAGTAATAGATATGACTCCCATGCAGCTATTCTCAAATCTCCCTAGATCCCTTTCACTTATCAATTGTTTCTACTTAACATCATCTTATTTAGATTAATTATCTTTTGACTTTAAGTCCTCTAAAGAATCTTCGATGTTGGTATCATGGGTTAGTTTTATTCATAATTTGTATATTAACAAATCCATATAACTATCATTAATATCAAGTTTGTTTTGCTATCATTTTTATTGTTAAATTTTTGCAATTATCTCTATTGACTTATTATCCATAGAGACAATTTAATCCAATCCATATGAGTGTTTTTTTTTAATGATTTTTCAAATACTTTGTATGGTGGACAGTAACATCCAAGTCTTCCAATTTGTCCTCCATAAAATTTTATGTTTTTTTTTTTTATCTACAATTTTGTATCTTCTATCTGTATTTCATGATTTAACTATGTTATATAAGTCTCACCTCTTTAGTAAATGATACTTGTAGAACTTCCACAAGTTTTATAATGCATCCTAATAGGAACTACTCCATTAGTATCACTATTCAAACTACATTTGTTATGAACTCTCCTTAAATATTATATTTGTCTTGCCACTTAAAATTAAAATTTTTAAAAATAAATTAAATAAATTAACATGTTCTAAGGGCAGATTCTATTATGTATGTCACATTAATTGTGATTCAATTTTATAATGTAATTTAATATTTGTACAATTGCTATAAATCATAGTTTTAAATAAATAATAAGCAATCAATAAAAGATATGTAAGTATACAAGTAGTGCAACTATAAATTATGTTCTTTCTTTTCTATTATAACTCATTAACTCTAATTATATTATTATTTTTTAGTTTAAAGGCTAAAGACTTGTAACATTCAAGTCTTTCAATTCAACCTCTATTATTATTATTATTATTATTATTTATTTTTTTTGTTTTATCTTCTCTACCCACTACTTTTTATTCATGTTTAACTATTTAACTATTTTTATCTATGTTTAACTATTTAACTATGTCATATACACTTAATTTTTTTTAAAATTATACTGTTAAATAATACTATGAATTGTATTTTAAAAAAAATAGTAAGTATTCCATAAAGAAATTGTAAGTACTAATAGTTTAAATAATATATTATCATCAAAAAATAATTTAAAAATATTATGATGCCATGTTTGAATTTGATTCTATAGTGCAATGATAAAAAATTATTGTCATTTTTTTATTGCTTATTAATTTTAATTATATTTTTTTTCCAGTTTTAATGCTATTCAGTTGTAATCAAGACTCCCCAAAACAAAAACAAAATGTAACACTCGATTCTTTCAATTCCACCTCCATTAAATTTTATGTTTTATTATTTCTACCCACCAATTTTCTGTTCATGTTTCACTATTTAACTATGATATATATTCTTAAATTATTATTATTTTTTAAAATTACACTCTTAAGTATTATGAATTGTAATTTTAAAGAAATAATAAGTATTAAATAAAGAAAATTGTAAGTATTAATAGTGTTAAAAATATATTATTATAAAAAAATTAATTTAAAAATATTTTTCTGAACCAAATGTATAAGTAAATTATCATATATATACAAATATAATCCTCACAACTTATAAAAATTATTCATTGTTGAAATATTAAATTAAATTGATAGAAAAATAAAATAATATTAATATTTTCTATTTATATTAGAACCGCGCAAGGCGCGAGTATTAATCTAGTTTTTGGTACAATGACAAAACTCAATTTGATTACTAATGGCAAAGTACTCCCGAGGCAAGGCAAACCATGTAGAGTAATAAGCATGAGAAGGGTGTTGTGTTGTGCACGTGTCTCTTCTTGTTCAACGGTGGTGCATCCAACAAAAGGTAGGAGTTCATTAATATCGTGAAGTGCAATATAAACTTGACTAATATATGTTGACATAGACCCCTCAATCTCTCGTGGAGTAATAATATTCCACAATATGTGACACATTCCCTAAAGATGTCGAGTGTCATTCGTGTAGAGTTGTTTTGCCTGCGTTGTGCACGTGTCTCTTCTTGTTCAACAGTGGTGCATCCGACAGAAGATAGCAGTTCATTAATATCATGAAGTGCAATATAAACTTGACTAATATATGTTGACATAGACCCCTCAATTTTCGCGGAGTAATAAAACAATTTGTGACACACTCCATAAAGATGTTGAGTGTATTCGTGTAAAGTTTTGCCTGGGTCCAAACCGATTCCCACATGATATGGGGTTAAAAGATCGCTTAAATATCAGGATGATAGTGGGCTTGATTACGATGCATAACGATCATCGATCTATTCCCATTTTGGCTTTTCAGGTGCAACCATGTTGTCGGAAGTTGTACTGAGGTGGTCCTTGTAGCCTTGAGCACGGACCCATAATTTGATGTCAGCAGCCCAACTATCTTAATTGGACCCAATCAGTTTTTCTCTAGAGAGTGGAAAGGTGACTTAGTTGGTGAAAATGCTCTTTGAACCATATGCGTCACTAGGTCCGGCCATGAGTAACCGAAGGAAAAAAAATATTGCACGAACTAGAAGCCACATTTTCGTAGATGGTAAATAAAAACTGAAGGCAAATCTAGAACGAGAATAGAAATCCGACTTGTGTGATGAAAAAGATGACTTGATCGGAAGCTGGACGCGCCGTCACGCACGAAGGATGGTGGCGGTGCATGAGGCCCACCCGCGGAGGACAAAGTGGCGCGTGAGACGGCGGTTGACAGTGATTTTCTGGGGATGGGCCGGATCGGAGAAGATGCTTTTGCTAGTGGTGGTGGTACGTCGGAAAGTCGTCAAAATCAGTGGCGGCATGGTGGTTGTGAGCGGTTAAACGGATGCCCAAATGAGTGGTTGGAAAGCAAACCAGAGTTGAGACTCGGTTTGCCAATTTTTTTTCTCATCAGAAGACAATGGGTCAATCGGATAAAGCACGGTTGAAAGCTAGGTCCGACCATGAGTAACCGAAGGAAAAAAATATTGCACGAACTAGATGCCACATTTTCGTAGATGGTAAATAAAAACTGAGGGCAAATCTAGAACGACAATAGAAAACCGACTTGTGTGATGAAAAAGACGACTTGATCGGAAGCTGGACGCGCCGTCACGCACGGAGGATGGTGGCGGCGCGTGAGGCCTACCCGCGGAGGACGAAGTGGCGCATGAGACGGCGGTTGACAGTGATTTTCCGGGGATGGGCCGGATCAGAGAAGATGCTTCTGCTAGTGGTGGTGGTACGTCAGAAAGTTGTCAAAATCAGTGGCGGCATGGTGATAGTGAGCGGTTAAACGGATGCCCAAATGAGTGGTTGGAAAGCAAACCGGAGTTGAGACTCAGTTTGCCAATTTTTTTTCTCATCAGAAGACAATGGGTCAATCGGATAAAGCACGGTTGAAAGCTGCCTCTCAATAGCTCAAGATACCATGTTTAAAAGAGAGAATGAGAGACTTTTGAATAAAACCGTGTGTCAGAATAGTACTACGGAAGTAGTATTATAGCGAGATATATAACTCATTATATTAATTACACAAAGAATATATTACAATATATTCTATTCTATTCTAAATAGGCTAAGGAATATTATATATACAAATATTAATACATCTCATACATCACAAGGATTAGACCCAAAAATGGTGCACAAGCAGAACTCACAACAAGAGCTGTACCCCAAGTTCAAAGCACGGCTGTTAAACCAAAAAATTCTTAATGCTCCTTCATTACCAATTCCGAATAATTCCCACCTATGTGCTGGAATTTTGTTTTAAAGTGCACGATTTCACTACCAAACATTTAATTTACTTTTGAAATCCTCAATCTAGAAACCAATCTGACTTATTTCATCCATGTCTCCCACTATCCTTGTTATACAATTGTATGATCCTTTTTTTACATAACCGACTTTAAATTCACGACTATACTGAAACTTGGCAGTTAAAGTAATAGCCTGCACCATGCATGCAAAGGCCTATGCTGTTAGTCCTCACATCTTTGATCAAGGATTTCTTAGAGGGGTGGGCGTGTAGCTAAGAAAGAAAAAAAAATTAGTGTCCAAACGAAGTTTATAAATTATAAAACCACACATAGAGAAAACAAGCACCTTTTGTTATTATCTTCTTACAACATTTGCATTTTATTTTTCTGTCTTTACAATCAATTGAGACACCATGCTTCCATACCTCACTACTCTTCATTCCTTTAGCATTTTAATTCACTTTGGTCCTAGACGATTCAGTTCCATTACTCCACCTTCAACATTTCCACCAGCCCTAGGCACTCCAGAACTTGAAGTCAATTTCCATTTCCTAAATTCACAGTGCTCAAGCCACAGAGGTTTAGTTCTGCCGAGATTAGAGAAACCAGAGACTCCTTTGCAGCTTTCAAATAAAGGTTTGCAATGTTTGCTTCATTTTCTCGATTCATCCAGGCACGAGATTAGTTTTATATCCTTAACCGGTTTTATCTCTCTAACACATCTCCTCACACAATAATCCTGAGCTTGAATTATGGATATTGCATGGACCAATTTATCATGTATTGGAATTTAACTTACATATGAAGAATGAAACTTTAGTCTCGACCTCTTTGTCATAAAGATAATAGAGCACTGATACAATTTCTAGGTCATCTATTCTAAATGCTTGGACTGAGGTAGAAGCTTATGAACTGTTATATATTTCTTACAAAAGGCGTTATATGTGCAATTGCCAAAATTTTCAGTACAATTGATTTACCTTTATTTGGAGAAAAATATCATTTTGTACTAACCTAGATATATTTTCTGCTCCAGGATATGTTGAATTTTAGAGCTACACTTCCTATTGCCACACTTAAGGGTGATATATTGCAAATGCTAAAGGAAAATGATGTTCTTGTCGTTTGTGGGGAAACAGGCTCTGGAAAAACAACTCAGGTGACATTTCAGTTGTAGTTTGTGATTTTTTGAGACATATCATATCAAAATTTCATGTCCTTAGTCAATTGCATTCTTCTTGCTTTAGGAATTTGAGTAAAGTTGATTATAGATGCCAAACTCCCCCTTGGAGTCGGAGTGTCTGCATTAATATTTTAAGATTGACTTTAATGTAGGTTCCACAATTCATATTGGATGAGATGATTGAGTCAGGACATGGTGGACAGTGTAATATTATTTGCACACAACCAAGGAGAATAGCGGTAGGTACTAAATCTTCTGCAATTATAAGCTGTATATTGGATTGTAGTTGTTGAAAGTAAGATTAAGATCTATATATTTATTGTAGAAGATAGACTTATCATATCATATCCTGTCTTGTACATAGGGATATCATATCATATCTTTAAATAGGAATACCATATTATATCTTGTAAATAGAGATATAATACTTTATAATTATCTTTTTTCACTGCAAAGTATGCCAAATTCCCAAAGAACTGGAACTACCCAACCATACTCTTGAAGTCTGCTTGAGACTATACAAAGCTTTTTACAACCTACATACAGAGCCTTGAGACTCCTAAGCTATGAACCCACATACTTGCCCCATATGAATTTCTTTAGCTTAATCACCATCCAAGGATTGGATGCCGGCTAACTACACAACTTCGGAGAATGTGTCACCATAATCCATTACAAATATCTTAGCATAGCCTTAATCTATAAATCAAGCTTTCACGTGACCAATATGACCATTAGAGCCTACCTTGATCGTGAATATCCATTGGCAACCAACAATAAATTTCATTGGCGGGAGGGCACAAGAATTCATGTCTCATAAGAGTGTATAGCCATCATCTCATCAATCATTACCTGTCGCCACCCTACATGATAAAGCGTTTTCAATTACAAGTGATGAATTCAGGTTGAGGGATTAGGACATGAGATGAGGCATCAGTCTATTTAGTGACAACTTTCTCCATGGAGCAGGATGACAATTATATGAATATGCAAGAAGAGGAGGAACCATAGGAATGGAGGAATCTGGTGTATCTGATGCGGGTAACACAGGACTAAAGGGAAAAGAGGACTTAGAATTTGGGTTAAACCTAACTCATCCCTACAAAACTGACATCTAAGGCGAGGGTTACCCCCACTTATAAACATATGGTCAAACCATATATTGTCTGATGTGGACTCTTAGCACACTCCCTCACGTCCAACATTATTAGACTTGGTGCGTGGATATAAATGGTAGGTGGTCAGATAGCGGAAACTTGATAGTAGGTGGCCAAATAAATCTTGAAAGAGACTTTGTTACCATCTTAGAATTTGGGCTGAGCCTAACTTATCCCTACAAAACCAACTGTAAAGTGAGGATTACCCCATTTTAAACATGTCCTTGCCACATATTATCCTATTTGAGACTCTTACCATGACCAACAGTACATATTATTAGCTGTGTATTTTATATTTAAATAGGATTAAAATCCCATTAAGAGGAGACTTGATTAGTTGAATAATTTATATTTAGAAACCATTGGCCCTTAATTATAGAATTGACATTGGGTGCAATGATGGGTATTTATTAAGAATTTCCTTTTCTAATTTCACTGTATTCTATTTCAGAGCACTTGCTCCTCCATCAATAATATTAGAAAATCACCTTCTGACATGGTATAAGCGCTCAAAAATCCATAGGAGACTCTGAAAAACTTCCCACCTAACAAAATTGAGAATGTCAACCAGTTACTATCCTTACCCCAAATACTGGCTCTGTTGAGTTGCATAATGTTCAACCTAACCATCGTCTCAATCGAAAAAATGACCTCAAATGGTTTCATTTTGTCCAAACCTTTTTAAAAGTTATTAAGAGTTATATTATAATAAAATGTTACTAGGGTTTAGTATTAAGTATTTGGGCTGGCTCATTTCTCTTTCTTAAGTATTGCTCTTTATTTCTTTTATATAGTATCTAGAGCCTACTAGGGTTTGCCGCAAAAAAAAATCGAACCCTACAAGCAACTTTAGAGAAGGCCGATTTAGCATTGTTGGAGGGGTGAAATTTTTTTTGGGCGGCCAAATCATGAAGAAATCCGCAGATTAGCGAAATTGTTGTTTTTCAACATTTTTTGTGTGCGATCTAAAGCGTGCGTTTTCGGAAGCAGTTGGTTTGTGGTTTTGGAACAGATTGAGGTGTTTTTGAGAGATGATAGAAGCTCGGTGGATCAGCGGCTGTTTGCGGCATTTTGGTGGTGTTCTACATTGATATAGTGTATTTTTGTTAGGTTTCAAGTCGAAATCGTGTGTGCTGCTGTGTTGTTGGTTAAACAATGTCGACAAGAATTGAAAATAGCGTCAAAGAGAGTTCTAAGAAGTTCATTACCGAGTTCGTTACTACTTCCACCAAACTCACCGACATCAAGCTTGCTTGGGATGGTGAAAACTATGTGGAGTGAAAGTATTTAGTTGAAGTTTGTCTTGGAGGAATGGGAAAGGATGGACATTTAACAGAAGCACGTTCAAAGGAAACAAAGGCAACAACGATATGGAACATAGAGGATAAACGTATTTTGACCTTATTGTGAATTCTGTTGATAGGCAAGTTCAATCAGTTATTACTCACTGCAAAACTGTCAAAGAGTTGTGGGATTTTTTAAAATTTATTTTTGGTAAATCTAATAATCTGAATCGCACTTATGCTCTTTTGCAAGAGATTTTCTGCCACAAACATGATAAGCGTAAGTTGATGGATTATTTTTTGGAGTTTAAGAAATATAACGAGGAGTTGACTTCTCTTCTAGCATGCAAATCTGTCGAAGAGGAGTTGACTTCTCTTCTAGCATGCAAATCTGTCGAAGAGATGTTACCTCAACAAAAAAACTGCTGGTAGGGTTCGATTTTTTTTCTTTGACGGCGAACCCTAGTAGGCTTAAGATATCATGTAGAAAGAAAGATAGAATATGAATAATCAATCATATTCACTATAATGTGTAGTGACCCTTATATTTATATTAAATGGTTAATATAGTAATGCATAAGAAAGACAAATGGGGCAGACCCATATACTTAATACTAAACCCTAGTAATATAATATTATAATATAACTCTTAATAGTATTTATTAGGATTGAGTATCTGCATATATAATGAGAATATGAGATACATGGATTTTCTCGTATGTTTTTTTGTTTTTATTTTTCTCTTTCTCAACATTACTTATAATTTAAATTTTGTGCTCTCATGTTTTATCTTTCTTTTCTACATGTTAGATCGTACTTGTTTAAAATTTCATTCAAAGCAAATTATGAAGTTACTATTCCAAGCTTATTATTTGTTGTTTATGTTTTAGGCTATTTCTGTGGCTGAAAGGGTAGCTGATGAGCGGTGCGAACCTTCACCAGGTTCTGATGGCTCCTTGATTGGTTATCAAGTTCGTCTTGATAGTGCCAGGTGTTCAGTTGTCCATCAACATTTTATTTTGAAATGATTGATTTAATTAAAAAACCGCTTATGACCCAAAATGATGGATTTAATTAATAAATTGCTTATTGACCCAAATCTTCCAGGTATGAAGCTCTAGATACAATAACAGTGTTTTTGAAAATGCTAACTATATAAGTATGTTAATTCTCCGTGTCTATACTTAGATCACACTACTTGTATTTATAATGGCATTACAATAAATACATTGAATGCCTAATGAATAACCACCAACCTAGAAAGTTGTATATGACATAAATTCCAACAATCAACCTAGAATATCTTGATGTTTACTTAATTCTAACACTCCTCAAACTGGAGCATAGATGTCATATGCACAAAATTTGTTCCAAATAGATTCAACCTGAGGTTCTCTAAGAAATTTAGTAAATATGTCGTCCGATTGATCATGTTAACCAACAAAATTAATTATGATGTTTTCTGAAAGAACCTTATCTCTTTACAAAATGATGGTTGATCTCTATGTGCTAAGTTCTTTCATGAAAAATCGGATTGAAGGCGATATGTAGTGCTGTTTGGTTGTCACAAAATAGTTTCATTGTCTTGACGTCTCCTAATTTGAGCTGTCACAACAATTGCTTTAACCACGTAATTTCCCAAGTTGCTGTTGCCATATCATGCTATTCTGCTTCTGCACTAGACCTTGCAACTCTGTTTTGTTTCTTGCTCCGCCATGAGATCAAATTTCCTCTAACGAGGATACAATACCCTGATGTGGACCTTCTATCTGCTGGTGAACTTGCCCAATTGGCATTAGAATAGCCCACGACTTGGGTGTTACTCATATTTTCTTAAAATAATCCTTTACCTAGCGCACTCTTTATATACTTAAAATGCGAATCACAATGTTTCAATGGCCATCACAAAGAGTATTTAGAAATTGGCTAACCACATTGACAGTAAAAATAATGTCGTGTTCTGGTCACTGTGAGATAATTAAGTTTTTCAGCTATATGCCTATATATATCAGGGTCTTTTAGTGGATCCCCTTGACCTGATAGTAGCTTGATGTTAGAATCCATAGGAGTGTCACTAGGCTGGTAGTTAAGCAAGCATGTTTCTTTAAGTATATCAAGAGGATATTTTCTCCAAGTAAAAGCCACACCAGTCTTGGATTGAGCAACTTCAATTCCCAAAATATTTTAATGGTCCCTAATCTTTATTCTAGAGGTGTAGAGATAAATGTTGTTTCAACCGCTGAAGTTAGCCTTATCATTACCGGTGAGAATGATGCCATCGACATAGACCAGCAGGTAGAGGCAAGTGGTTGGCGAAGAATGCAAAAAGAAGACAGAGTAATCAGGCTCCAATCTAGTCATGCCATACTCTTGTAGCATAGTGCTAAACCTCCCTAATCAATTATGGGGAAGGTATTTCGGGCCATATAGAATTCTGTAAATTGTGTGTCTATACTTAGATCACACTACATGTATTTATAACGGTGTTACGAAAATACATTTAATTCTTGATGAATAACCACCATTCTAGGAAGTTGTATACTCTAGGAATACTAACAATCAATCTAGAATATCTACATGTTTACTTAATTCTAACACTGACATGGTACTTGGAGATAGAAGAGATGAAAGAGAGTGTTATTGCTTACTCTTATCGACTTTCAACTGCCATTAATCAAATATGTTTATGCTACTAAATATTTTTATTGTTAAGATTTTAAGGTTGTTTAACAATGCACTTGCAGTACCTTGATCCTTTTGTATAGAAAATTCTTAATTAGTGACATGAAGAAAGTATTCTGTAATGGAATGCTAGTTACATTGTATTTTTTCCTCTCCATATGTGCAAATGCCTTGGGTTTTTTCTTTTTGTCATATTTTATAAATATTAGTTTATTGACTGCTTATTTTCATGCCAGGAATGAGAAAACAAGGCTTCTGTTCTGTACAACAGGCATCCTTCTGAGAAAATTGATGGTACATTATTTTTTTTAAAAAGTTTAATAGGTAAATAAACGAAGTATTCAATGAGGAAAAACTTAGAAAACATTCAATGATCCAAATGATCCAAGAAAAGCATAGAAAACAAAAAAAAAGATATGAGACCCTAATTCATGTTATAACAGTTAAAATAATTACAAAAAAGACTCAATCTGTATTTCAACTGATAATTCTTATTTATATGCTGATGCAATGGAAGATAATCGATATTTAGTTATGGGAGGATAACTAACCTCAACTAACTACATTGCTTTAATGGTAAATGAAATGCTAATTACAAATGAAAGGTACACAAATAATAGGAGTAAAATACTGTCCCATCCCCTCCCTAGCTCAAAGTGGCTGAGCAACCAAAGCAAGTATTAAGTTAGTATCAAATCATTATCAATAATATTACGCTATTATTGTATAAATTCTTTATTTCTCCTCTCCTTTTATCTAAAACTCATAACTCCAACTTGGCATCTAGAGCATGGTTTGATCTTCCATCACCTGTTTAGCCACTATACTGTTGCCAAGTTCCACTAAGTATGAAGGAACTCTAATATTGTCAGCTGTACAAACAGAATATTACTGCCACTGTTCTCTCCTTTATTGATCTCCTCTTCCTGGGAGTGACCTCTTCGATCTGCGGCCACAGCGCAGCCGCCAGCCAGCAAGAAATCTTTTTCAATAAGTTCCCCTGCAAAACCCTGCCATCTGGAGCCCCTCAGGCTGTTACAGCTGCTGCCCACTCAGGCTGTTGAAGTGCTTCTTGAATATTTTTTGGAATATTTGTGTTGTCAAGTGCTGCTACAAATCTCCTGTATTTTTGTGATAATTTCCCATATGACACAAATCTTTCAATGGGATGTTGAGTGCAAGTTCTCTTCCCTTTTCTTAATGCAATAGGAACAACATCATTGTTATTTAAACTCGTATGAACAAGTTCAGAGTTCGGAGCAATTTTATCTGAGGAGATTCCATTTTCTAGAGTCCGGTCAGATTCATGGTTTTGCATCGAAGTTGTGTTTGACTCTACTATCTGTTCGTTTTTCTTCCTCCTAGTGTAGACTTCACGGCCAACTTCTTGTACAGTATTGTCGACATGTGCAGTTTCAAGGACATGCTGAAACGGTTTTGTGGGATTTTGTGGTTCAGCTAGTGTGAAATTTTCTGGTTCGACTGGTGCAGAATTTTCTGGTTCGACTGGTGCAGAATATTGTGGTTGTGCTGATGCAGAATTTACTGGTTCTGCTGGTGCAAAATTTATCGGTTCAGCTGGTATGATGTCAAGGGCAGGTTCAACCATCTCAAAATTTGAAAATTGGAATTCTGCTGTTCTGTTCAGGAATAAGGTGTTCACCACCTGAATTCCAACTTTTGAGTAAAATGTTGATTTTCAAAGGTCACATCCATAGTGTGGTAAAACTTTCTTGTTGTAGGTGAGTAACACTTATATCCTTTTTGGTGAGGTGAGTAGCCAAGAAACACACATTTGATGGATTTTGGGTCAAGTTTGCTGCGGTGAGGGTTGAGATTGTGAACAAAGGCTGAACACCCAAATATTTTAAAAGGGATTGAGTTGAAAATTTTGCAGGTTGGGAAAAAGGCTTGTAGAGTGGAATAAGGTGTGTCGAAGTTGAGGATACGGGAAGGCATCCTGTTTATGAGATAGGTGGCTGAAAGGAAAGCCTCTCCCCAAAAGTGTTTTGGTACATTTGTGGCTAGCATGAGAGATCTTGTTACTTCTAATAGGTGTCTATTTTTCCTTTCTGCGACCCCATTCTGTTGAGGGGCTACACATGAACTCTGGTGTACAATTCCATGGGTCTTAAGGTAAGACTCTAGAACCGAATTAAAATATTCACGACCATTGTCAGTTCTAAGCACCTTAATTTTTGTTTGGAAGTGCGTTTGCACCATGGTGTGGAAGAACTCAAATAATTTTCCAACCTTTGATTTCTCTTTCATAAGAAATACCCATGTGACTCTTGTGTGATCATCAATGAATGTGACAAACCATTTAACATTTGTTATGTTGCTGACCCGAGAGGGCCCCCATACATCACTGTGAATTAAGGAGAAAGGTCGAGAGGATTTATATGATTTAGGTGAGTATGTGCTTCGGGTATGCTTTGATAACTGAAACACTTCACATTGAAGATTTTTTTGGTTTCTATTGAAGAGTGAGGTAAACGTTTTGTGTAAATACGTGAAATTTGGGTGGCCTAATCGAAGTGCCACAACATTATAGATTCTTCATTATTTGGAGAAACTGCACTACTTGGAGAAACTACTGCACAAGAGTTAGCTTTGAGTTCTTTGGAGAAACTTTCAACTTGTAGATAGTAGAGTCCACCACACTCTTTAGCATTGCCAATTGTCTTCCCCTACTCCAAAATCTGAAACTCACAAATTAGGGAGAAATTTACTGACACATCTATGAAGGTGTCATATGGTTCGTGGCTCCTGAATCTAAGATCCAAAGGGAAGTAGAGAGTATATTTGAGGTGTTAAACCCGAATGAAATTGGAAACATACCTGAATACGCCAAAGTACAAGTACCTTTTGGTTTCTTCAAGCTATTAAGAAATGTCTTCATTCTTTCAATCTCTTCTTGGTTAAGGCTGGTTAATCCAGAATTATTTGAAGATTCTGCCTTGTTTTCTTCAACTTTTTCAGCAACATAACCCTACTTTGTCCTTCTTCATGACTAGGAGGTTTTCCATGCAACTTCCAACACTTCTCACGAGTATGACGAGGTTTATTACAGTAAGTACACCACAATTCGCCCTTCTTTTCCACCTTTGATTGTCCACCACCTGTAAGATTTTCAACTATCATGGCTGAACTTTCAATGGATGGACTATTGAGCATTAAGTTTCTTCTACTATCCTCACTTCTTACGATGACAACAACCTCATTTAAGGAAGGAACTTGAGGTTTTCCTAGAATCTGAATTCTTACCTGATCAAATTCAGAATTTAATCCCACAAGAAAGTCATAGACCCTATCTTGTTCAATAAACTCCTTAAGGACTGCTGAGTCTGCTGCACAATGAGTTTTTATCACTCTATAGTGATCCAATTCCATCCAGAGACTTCAATTGGTTGACATATTCTGTAACAGATTTATTTCCTTGCTTAGTGGCAATTGTTTTGACCTTCACATCATAAACTTGGACAGCATCTTTGGCCTTCGAATAAGTTTGCTCGATTGCATCCCAAATTTCTTTTGCAGTGCTAAGAAACATGCGAGTATCACTAATTGCAGGAATCATTGAGTTCCATAGCCAGGCCATAATCATCGAGTCTTCCTCATCCCATGCAGTAAAACTTGGATCTCCCTCGGCTGGACCAGTACCAGTTAAGTGACTGAGTTTACCTTTTCCTTTTAATACTGTGCGAATAAGTTGGGCCCACTTGAAATAATTTTTCCCATTTAGTCGATAAGCAGGCTGGATGCTCTGTAATTCTCCAGACAGATTATTCTGGACTTGAGAGAATGTGGTTGGAGCTGCAACTGGAGCAGAGATCAAAAAGAAAAATTTACTGCGGCTTGCGGTGACTGATTAGCACAGTTCTCGTTCTGTGGATCTGAACTTGTAATATTTTCTGGTACTGGAAAGATTTTTTCAAGCATTGGAACAGTGTGCAACACTGCTTGATATGACCCATTATGGAAGAGCCATGAGAGAAGATCAGAGCCCTAGAGCTCTGATATCATCTTAGAAGTCGAGAAGAGAATCAAAGAACTTATAGAAGATTGTTTCTGGAATTCTGTTTCATTTATATTTATTCTTTAACTCCACATATAGGTGCTGTTAGTTTCAGGTTAGATTGACAAGAACACTGAATTACCAAACCCGATAGCCTGTAAGCTAAGCATCTCATAGACTGCTGGGAAAAAACAGTTATAAGCAAGTAACACAAACACAATAAAGCTTAAGTACTAAAATGGTTGGATTAAATACATGCCAAGATCCTACAATAATTCTTGGTTATCTACTTAAGAAACCTTTAAATGAAATTATGAAACAGTTCACTTATTTTTTTCGTCATTATTTTTTATGGATCATCCCGAGCCTATGAGTTAGGCTTCAATAGTTTTGATATGCTGTGTATTTTAGTAATTAACTTCATCTAATGCTGATGTGACTAGTGGTATTTTCCTACTGATGTCATCAATGCATTTTCGATTCCGAGTCTTTTATTTATTGAATATTTAGTTATTACTTACCTTGTTCTTTTTGTTAAATTTAAGTTCTGATTTACCTTAATCATTTTGCAGGGGAACCGAAGCTTGATGGGTATTACTCATATCATAGTTGATGAAGTTCATGAGAGGTCTTTATTGGTCAGTGAAATCAATTAGGATGGTATACAATAAACATTTGCGTGAATCTTACATGGAGAGATGGTTCTAATTGTTTATGCCTTATCTAACTTGATATGTAGTTCTTTGTAAGATGTCCTTGAATCCCCTGCATAAGTATTTAGGTCATGGATCAACCTATAGATGCGACAATTGATAGGTGAGAAAAATAGAAATATTTTTTGGTAGGGAAAGTGAGAAAGAAAGTAGACATTTAATACTATTGCGTATATGTAATACAGTTAATAATCCAAAATGCCGTATTTATACTAATACTTATTATTGACGTTGTATTGGAGTCCAACATTACTTAGGCTCTTTGGTATACTTATTATTGACATTGTATTGGAGTCCAACATTACTTAGGTTCTTTGGTTGTTGGATGTATAAGTGTACTTGGGCACCCTCATCCTTCAAGCTAGTTTTGGATGAGATCCAAGCCCATTTAACTTGGTACCAGAGCCTTGGTTCTTTTTTGCTCTCAGTATTTTTAGGTTTTTTATTTATTGCAATATGGGAATTTGACCCGCACTAGGCGTGATGGCAGGTTTTGAAGTTGTGTTGGAGTCCCATATTGCTCAGGTTCCCGAATTATTGAATGTACAAATGTATTTGGGCACCCTCATTCTTTGAGCTAGCTTTTGGGATGTGATTTATGTCAAAAACTAATATAGTATTCCTAGCATAAGGTCTTGATAGGTTATAAACGTTCTTAGTATCACAGCCTAGCTAACACAAATTTGTTTACGAAATTATAGTTAGGAATCTGTTATCTTGTTTTGTATAGTTTGGCATGTAAACTAGAAGGGTCTACAGTTATTGCTATTGCAATTTGTTGAAGTTATTGGGTTTTAGATAAAAGGAAAGGAGAACCAATAAGGACTTCAAATATGGTATTGGTGTAATTCAATTGGTAATAACTTTATACTAATTTTTTATAACAACTAGTGTGTACATAGAAAGTAATTTAAGAGATACTCTAAGATAAGAATCTAATCTTATGAGATAATATTAATTATCAATATATCATAAATTCTCTAACACAATCTTTTGACTTAAGATTTCCATAATAGAAGTCTTACTCCAAGATCTATAAGTTTTTAGTTACTGCTTTATTCATAATCCAAATCCAGATGATAAATCTCCCTTCCTCCTTAAAGCTTGTCTACCTGGGTTACACTCTATCTTTTAGGGGGTTACACGTGTTTCTCTATTGTTATATAGTCTCATTTGTTATATTCTTTAGTCCACTACCTTCTATACCGATTGACTTTTATCTGTTAGAGTTGTATCACGGTCCAAAAGAATCAGTTCCTCCACCTTCGCTGCAGGTGCATCAGCGTTGACTACATACTCCTTTACCTCTTCACCGGCTAGTGATAGAATTGTCTCTCCTTCTGATCTAATTGCTCCATCCATTCATAGGCTAGTGATAGAATTGTCTCCTTATCTAATTGCTCCATCCATTCCTACATTTCTTTAACCAAAATTGGTATGTCAAAGCATCATGTAATAACTTGACATCTCTTTTGGAAGTTACTCTCAAAGTGAGTTGTCAGACTCCACTCCTTGCTTCAGCCCTTCTTCTCCCACAGACAAACCTTGATGTCACATCATTATGCCATGAGGGATTATGTGTTAGCTGCCATATACCGCAATGCCTATTAAGTCTGCCATAGGCCGCAACGCCATAATGTAGGTGATGCTTATCTCATCTTGTGGGACACAATCACGGGTTGGTTCAACCCTACCAATAAAATTGATGTAACCTCTAAAAAATTGGCTTGAATCACTGGTAAAATCGTGTAATGGAAGAGCAAACCCTATTAGTATGGATCATGCTTCGGGTTCATATGAATCCGACTCAACCTAACTAGTTAAAATATAAAGAAAACTAGAAATTGATAAACCCTTGGAGCACACTACTCTATCTACTCAAAAACATACTCTCTTGGTTTCCTTGTTTCCCCTATTTTTGAGCTTAATATGATAATTAAGGTTAAATAATTGCTGAAATAATTAATGTTTTGGGGTTATTTCCAAAAACCACTATTCCATAATAGAACCAGACTCATTGAGATAGATTGTTGTTTCACTAGGTAGAAGATCTTATTTGGAGAAAATACAGAAAATACAAGTAGTTTTGTAAAAAAATGTCCAAATGACATATGCGTTCACTATATCATTGAGAGGTCCTCAAATTGGTATACATGTGAGAAGCATGGCTTTATATGATTTATATGTTCTAGCTTGAGAGGGCGTTAGAATAAATAAGTTTATTATGTAATTCCAATAACAAGGGTAAGTGTAACCCTAAATATTTATCACTTTGCATATGTAATACTTCTGCGTGTACTTGAAATACAAATTCTTTCATATGCTTTCTCGTTTTCCTGTTTCTCAATTTATATTGATTCTTCATCTTTTGTCTTGTCCAATAATATTTAATATTTTTCATATCTCATTCAATGTATTTGTATCATATCTTACTTTTTCCATCGTTGGTGTTAGGATCAACTACCAATTTACAATTTTCAAACACAACCAAACCTTTTTTTGGTGTTGTAAATTCAGTTTATTGTTGGTAGAAAAGTGAGAGGGAAGCAAATAAGTGAAATTACAAAATTTACAACTTTTTCTTTTATCATGAGATTTTAGAAATCCCTTGGTTCAGCAATATATCTTTTGCTTTTTAGAGGACTCACAATTCTTTATCGTTATACTCTCTTATGCTGATAATCTATTCTTTTTTTCAGAAATATGTTAATCTTGTATGTTTATTATTTTTTATTTTCTATAGGGTGATTTTATTCTAATTGTGTTAAAGAATCTAATTGAGAGGCAGTCCAGTGAAGGCTCTTCAAAAGTCAAAGTCATTCTAATGTAAGTTTTAAGTATTTAAATTTGTTCGAAGAACTAATGTTCTATTTTATCTTTTTTTTTTTTTCATTTCCTTTTAGCTTCACATCCTTTTTATCTTACAATCATAATGATCAGGTCAGCAACTGTGGATTCAAGTTCATTTTCAAAATACTTTGGTCATTGCCCTGTAGTTACAGCAAAAGGCAGGACTCATCCAGTGACAACATACTTTCTTGAGGATATATACGATCAAATTAATTATCGACTTGCTTCAGATTCACCCGCGTCTTTAGCAAATGAAACATTTTCTAAAGGACAGGTAATCTATGGCCATCTTAAGATTACTTTTGCTGAATTGAGTTGTAATTTTTCTGATTTATAGTTGTTTAACCTTAACCATTCCTTCTAGCTAATAGAACTGGACCAGGGAATATAAGAGAATTAGATATAAAGATATCATTTTGTAGGAATATGATTGAAACTGGTGCCTATAGTGATAATTAGTAGAAACAACATTTTATTTATAACAATCTCTAGAGTGTTAACTCAAAATGGAGAATGAGTTATGTTAGAATATTATAAAATATCTTATAATATATTTTATACTATTTTTGTCCTTAAATATAAGACTCTATTAACCCTTAAGGGTTGGTCTAGGGGTGAAGGGTCCTGAAAGTGTGCTCCTCTCAAGGTCTCAGGTTCGAATTCCACTTGGTGCAAAGAATCTTAGTGTTGGGCCATGTCCATAGTGTTGAGTCTTTTGTATCTAAGTGGTTATAAAGTTACAATCAAATCAACATGAAGCTATTATCAATTATATTTTTCTTTCATATTTTACGATACAACAAAATAGGAATTAACAAATAAACTAAGGAAATAAATATTCTACTGTTGCAAGGCAATTCCTACGCAAGAAATTCAGGAGTCTTTGTCTTTACTTCTAAGGATTTGAGAGCTTAGTCTCTTCCAATTAATATCCAGTCCCAAAATTAATGCCAACTCATTTTTCCTTAAATTTTCCTGTTTACTCAAAATCTGTCTAATAACATAATTGCTGCCTAAAACATGATTATTGCCTAATAACATAATTAATGAAACGACGCTGTTTTACATATTACCACTACTCTAATTAATGAAATGTTGCAATTTATTTTAGAACTCGCAGAGAGCTTCTGTAACAAACAGCAGGGGGAAGAAGAATCTAGTCTTATCTGCATGGGGCGATGAGTCTCTGCTCTCTGAAGAACATTTTAATCCAAATTTTGATCCCAGTTATTATCAGTCATTCAGTGAACAAGCCCAAAAAAATCTGGTTAGTCTCTTTTAAATTGTTAACCTTCATACTACCTATAATTGTAACTCTAATTTGACCATTCAGAAAAAAATATTCAGAAAAAAGTGAATGAGGATGTCATTGATTACGATCTTATTGAAGATCTAATATGTTACATTGATGAAAGTTGTGGTGAGGGTGCTATCCTTGTCTTCTTACCGGTAAGACTGTTTGGTTTTCATTTGAGTCGGCATGCTTACCTGTATTTTCTTATATAGTAATATCTTTCCATTGTAATTTGAATTGTTAGGGAGTGTTTGAGATAAATCACTTACATGATAAGTTAGCAGCGTCGTACCAGTTCGGTGGGCCATCTTCAGATTGGGTTATTCCTTTGCATTCATCAGTTGCGTCAACTGAACAGAAAAAGGTTTTTTTACGCCCTCCAGGAAATATACGCAAGGTGAGGTTTATTCCTCATATGTTATTATTTACTAGAACTATAAAATAGTAATATAGTCTATTAGAACGCATGAGAGGGAACTTTGCTAATACCTTGCTCTAGGATTGGTCATATGCATCCAATTTAATCATAAAAAATCAATATGAGAAATGAGATCCTTGTGGAGATTTGGTGAAGATATGTGCCAACTGATTATCGGAGCTCACTAAAGAGGTTTAATGATGTCCGAAAGGATCTTCTCTCGATAAAGTGGCAATCAGTTCTCCTCTGAGATTATTCCACTTATGAACGACGAGGTTTGACGATAGATACAATACTACCGGCTAATCATCACGCATGTTCCATAGGTCCTATAGTTGACAAAGTTTCAACTCTTTGAGTAAGTGTTTCAACCATAAAAGTTCACAAGTATTGTAGGCTCTTGGAAATAGAAAAAAAACATTGTATGTTTTCCACTAAAATGAGTATTAACAGGCTGTCGTCTGCTTCCATTTACTTTGAGGTTCCTTACACTCTTCTCTTTCATCAGCAACCTGATTACAAGTTTCTGAAAGTTTTTGGGTGTGCTTGTTTTCCTCTCTTGAGACCTTATCTTTCTCAGAAACTTAACTTCAGATCTCAAGAATGCCTCTTTCTTGGATATTCTACTTCTCACAAAGGCCATAGGTGTCTGGCTCCTACTGGCAGGTTATACATCTCCAAGGATGTTCTTTTTAATGAGTCTAGGTTTCCTTATCTAGACTTATTTTCCAGACCCAGTGATATCAGTGATACTTCCAGCCCCAGTACATCCTTGGCACCCCATCACTCTAGTCCTCTTTTGAGTGCTCTTACTCCTCACATCACTAACTTACAATCTCCTATCCCTAATTCTTCAAATGTTCTTCTTCCTGCCTCTCCCACTACCTCCTCTGTTCCTGCTCCCACTTTTGTCCCTACTAGCCCTAAGGATTCATCCTCAGCTGGTAGTTCTGCAACTTCTTCACCAATTACTGCCAGCAACTCCCCATGGCCACTTTCATCTTTCTCTAGTCCCGCTGACTCCTTATTCAGCTCATCTTCAGACACTGCTTCTGCACCATCTGTTCCCCTCAGGCTGTTCCCTCTCTTCATGTCTACTGTGATGCTGATTGGGCTTCAGATCCAGATGACAGGCGCAGTACATCTGGTGCTGCTATTTTCTTTGGAGCTAATTTAGTTGCCTGGTGGTCAAAGAAGCAGCCTGTTGTTGCTAGGTCCAGCACGGAATCTGAATACAGAAGTTTAGCTCAGGCTACAACTGACCTTCTTTGGATACAAACACTATTGAATGTATAAGTAGCTTTACTGTTATTCCCTTGACTGGCAACTGTAAGTTACAGTATGCCCTAACCTGTAATAGCAGGTTACCCTTGATGCTGTATATAAAGCATCAAGGAGCCTTTTTGTAACCAACTGAAAAATCAGAAAACAGAATAACAGAATTCTGTTATAGATGAATATTCTCTTCTTCTCCATTCTTCTTTTCTAATAACTATATTTAGAATATAAGAACGTATAAAATATTTTTTCTTATGTTAGAGTATCAGATATAAGATATTTTCTCATATTGTAAAATCTATAATGGTTTTTGTTTATCCTTATATATCTTAAAATATACTTTTATCGTACTTCTAGGTTATATATCTAAAATATATTTTATCGTACTTCTAGGTTGTTATAGCTACAAATATAGCAGAGACCAGCATAACAATAGATGATGTGATATATGTGATTGACTGTGGAAAACATAAGGAGAATCGTTATAATCCGCAAAAGGTATGTTCTTTTATTCTAGTTTTAATGAATTGTTATCTTACTTGAACAAGTCAATTGCGCAAAACTAATTTTGTTTGTAAAAGTTTTGATTATAGACATATTGCCATTGAACTTTCATCATCAGCTGCATTTTTGGACGTTAAATATTTTGTTTTCACCTGGTTAATAAATCTGAGAGCAATAGTTTTGACGTGGATATGAGTCATTCAAAGGAAAAAGTAAGTGTGATTTTGGTGTGCACGGAAGCAGGATACTTGAAGCTCTTGGGGTGTCCCTTTATAATTACTTTGCTTGTTGTATTACCAATAATGTACAGTACAGACAAGTATATGGAAAATTTTCAAAGTGCAACACATAAAACTAATATGTAGACACAAATATTAAATCAAAAGAGAGAATCAATATATTTTTAGTTGGCAAGAGTCATTGTTGAGATGATAAGTTTTTCTCGTGCATTTATTTTTTAGTTTTTCTCAAGTATTTCCATTTATATTGGTATAAAAGTTCACATAGTGGAAGTAAAAAAATGTAAAATACAACTGGAAGTACCTGATTTGTCGGGTTAGTGTCAAACATGAACATATGTTTGACATGTGTATGATGCTCAACCACAACAACCACTTTTCTAAACTCTTCCTGCTTTCTCCTAAATCATAGAAACCTAATCTAAGGTCAACACTCGTTGCAGTATATGGGATGCAATGGATCACCTTAAGACAACAAGTCTTTGGAAAATTCCCATCTTCATTGTTAATTCAGTTATTTTGCCGGTCTAAATAAATAAATAAATAAATAAATAAAAAGTGAAATGGAAGTGATCTGTTCTATTCTACTATTTTTATTGTTTTGCTGAATGCACTTTCTTTTGCAGAGCTAGAATTACAACTATAGAATTACTATTAAACTCTTAACATGCGTGGAATGAGAAAATATAACACCTTACTTTCTGGTTTGATTGATTTTATGGTTGATACTAGAAATTGTCTAGCATGGTTGAAGATTGGATTTCTCAAGCAAATGCAAGGCAGCGTCAGGGTAGAGCTGGACGTGTAAAACCTGGAATTTGCTTTCGCTTGTACACTCGTTATAGATTTGAAAAACTCATGCGTCCTTATCAGGTATGCATTCTGAAAGGAAATTGTAAAAGAATATTCTTACTATTACTGGTAGCTTTAACTGCTTATGACAGTTACAACTGTTCTGAGACTTACCCACAGTATATATACTCACTCATTAGAATGAACATTATTTAGATCAGATACTTCAGATTCTCTCAATTACTCAGTTTTCGTGCCATGAATTCTACAAATAAAGATTCTTCAATGTGCATTTAGACTGTTTTACGTTTTCATTAATAGTTGATATGTTTTTGTAGTAAATATCATATTTTTGTAATTATTTGTAATATTTGTAATTAGTCCATTATTCAGGGCCATTAGATTTAGAGTAGTCTATTCAAACGAATTAGTGTTTGTATACTAATAAAAAAAATTGAAATAATATTTAGAAAACTATTTCTCAATTCTACAGTTTTCACTAATCGTTTTTTAAAATATTTCCTTACTTTCATTTTGTTTCCCCTTTTCATAATTTTGCACAGGCAATTGCAAAATCCTATGTATGGTTTTAAATATTTTGATTACAATTTGTGTGAAAATCCCTGCAATAGGAAACACAATGAAAACAAGATGGAATTTGTATTATTATTACTATCTGAATAGGAAACACAAAAAAAAGAAGGGGAAAGTTGTGTACTTTTGAAACTATAATTTAAAAAGTTCTAAGTTTTTGATTATGAGAATGAAATTCCGAAACCAAGTGTCTTTTGTGCTTTATTTCCATCATTCTAATATCCTTTTTTCCTTGCGCGTCTATGTTATTTTCTTCTTTTCCAGGTCCCAGAGATGCTTCGAATGCCATTAGTTGAATTGTGTCTGCAGATTAAGTTACTATGTCTTGGATATATCAAATCGTTTTTGTCTATGGTAAACAGTTATTTTTAGGATTTAAAAAAGTTATGTGATCAATTATTTGGATAGCTCTTTATAAAATATTTCCATTAACAGGCTTTAGAACCTCCCAAAATTGAAGCAATTGATTCGGCAATGTCTTTATTGTATGAGGTACTCTGATCTTTTTAACTATCACTGATTTCAATGAAAGAATTATTTTGAATTATTTTCTATAAATCTTGTTTTCTATGATTTTTTTCAAGGATTAATGCATTTTTAGTCTCTATAAAATACCATTTTATCAAGATTAGCTCCTACAAAGATTTACAACAACGCTTAGTCATTAATTTGGTGTTTTTCGGATTCTAAACATAGATGAAAAATTGCATCAAAATTACCAAAGAGGGTTTAAACATCAATGAAAATATCTAGGGGCTAAACTTAATAACAGGGTATCTTATAGTGGCTAAAAATATATTTAACCCTATATTTTGGTCCTTGAAAATATATCCTTCATGATATACTAAAAGTAATAAAATAACAATAGAGATTAAATTTACAAAAATTATGTTTTAGAGAGTAAAAACATATTTAACCTATTAAATTTACAAAAATTATGTTTTAGAGAGTAAAAACATATTTAACCTATTTTAGAAACTATGTTTGGTTCTAATTGTCACTTCGATTATTAAGATAATGTATGTGGAAGTAGAATATAGTTAATGTTCTACTTTCCAAATACAATTAGATTTAGTCATATCATTGCAAATTGCATTCTTAGATTCGTTGTACCTTACTCACTCCGCCCTTAATTATAAACAAAACAAACAACTTTCGCACTTATTAAGAATGATAGTTAAATGTGTTGATATATATATATATATATATATATATATATATATATATATATATATATATATATATATATATATATATATATATATATATATATTCTCTAGAATATTTCTTAGTGTATTCTAGAATAGGATAGGATATCTATGTAATTAATACTAAGATTTGTGTTTTCTCCTATATAATACATCTTCCGCTGTGCTATTCAAACACACTGTTTATTTAAATGTCTCTTAGTCTCTCGTATTTTAACATGGTATTCAGAGCCCACTGAGAGACAATCCTTCACCGTGCTTTATCCGGTTGATCCATTGTCTTTCGGTGAGAAATTTTTGGCAAACCGTGTCATAACTCCGGTTTGCCTTCCCTACACTGCCGTGATTCATTCCGGCATCAGTTTTCGAATTTCTCCGGTCATCACCGGACTGCCGCCGCCACTACTTTTTTCGGCCACCTTCCAGCAAACTAACTCTACCGGCAGAAACACCTCTTTCGATCCGGTCAATCCCATCGATTTTTTTTCACCGCCCCACTCGCCACTTTGCTACTCCTCAGAACATTACGCCAAACTACGATGATTTCATCAGCTGGTATCAGAATTATCAGAACTCAGATTCTATTGCTTCAATTGCACATACAGATAATTCATTTGTTTGCCTCTCTCAATCATCTTCTTTTGGACCTTGGGTCCTTGATTCTGGTGCGTCTGATCATGTTACTGGTAATAAAAATCTTTTCTCTTCCCTCTACTTCTGGTTTCTTACCTACTATAACTTCTGCAATGATTCTCAAATCCGATCCGAAGGAATTGATACTGTTCAAAATCTACCTTCTCTCTCTGTTACTTCTGTTCTTTATGTACCTAATTGTCCCTTTAATTTACTTTCAGTCAGTCGTTTAACTCGTTCTCTTGATTGTATTGTCACATTCACTAATAGTAACGTCACCCTGCAGGATCGGAGTTCGGGACGGATGATTGGCGTCGAATGTGAGTCTCAAGGCCTTTATTACCTCTCCGTGTCATCTCAGACATGCTCAGCCAAAGATTCTCCACTCACTATCCATGCTCAGTTAGGTCATCCTAGTCTTCTTAAATTACAGAAGTTGGTGTCAAGTTTATCAAAGGTATCTAATTTACATTGTGAGTCGTGTCAGTTAGGGAAACACACTTGTAGTCAATTTCTCAATCGAGTCAATAAACGAGCTTCCTCCCCTTTTACTTTAGTTCACTCTGATGTTTGGGGTCTCTCACGTACTGTCTCTACTCTTGAGTCTAGGTATTTTGTCACCTTTATTGATTATTTTTCACGTTGCACGTGGTTATTTTTAATGAAAAATAGATCAGAATTATTTTCTATTTATGAAAATTTTTATAAAGAAATAAAAACTCAATTTAGTGTGTCTATTCGTACCTTAAGAAGTGATAATGCTCGTGAATACTTATCCCAACAATTTCAAACTTTTATGTCAAGTAATGGTATTCTCCACCAAAACGGGGTAGCCGAACGCAAAAATCGGCATCTCGTAGAAACCACTCGGACCCTACTTCTCCATGGTAATGTTCCACTTTGATTTTGGGGGACGCTATGCTAACGGCGTGTTACCTTATAAATCGCATGCCATCATCTGTCCTTAATAATAAAATTCCTCATTCAATCATTTTCCCCATTCCCCCCTTCACCCAATTCCTCCTCGAGTCTTTGGGTCTACATGTTTTGTACACAATCTCTCTCCTGGTCTTGATAAACTATCAGCTCGATCACTAAAGTGTGTTTTTCTTGGTTATCATCATCCCTAAAAGGTTATCGTTGTTATTCACATACTCTACAACGATACCTCATGTCGGCTGATGTCACCTTCTTCGAGTTTGTTCCATATTTTGCGTCCAGCCAAGTAACTCTGGAATCCCTTCAGGAGAGTACTCCCACACCTCTTCCGGAAGTCCCATATGTCATTATCCCCCATCATTCTAGGGAACCTGGCCCAATAGATAACCCTTCGGTTGACCCCCCGATTTCTCGTCCACTTCAAACATATCAACGTCGTCAACCAACGCATGTCGTACCTGTTCCTGAAGTCGTACATGTCCCTAAGGTCATTGCAGACTTTCCTCCGACGCTCTTGCCATCAGCGGATCCGATCCTGCAACCTGAGTCCGATCTTTCGATTGCCCTTCGAAAAGGTATACGTCAAACACGGAATCCTTCTCCACATTATATTGATTTATGCTATCATCGTCTTTCCCCTTTGCAGTATACTTGTTTATCTTTTTTGTCTTCTGTTTCTATTCCTAAAACTCCAGATGAAGCATTATCTCACCCTGAGTGGAGGCAAACAATGATTGATGAAATGTGTGTTCTTCAAAGCAGTGGTACCTGGGAAGTGGTTCCTCTACCCCTGGGAAATCTTTAGTAGGTTGTCGTTGGTTTTATACAGTGAAAGTTGGTCTAGATGGTAAGATTGATCGATTTAAAGCTCGCTTGGTAGCCAAAAGATACATTCAGATTTTTGGGTTGGATTATAGTGATACCTTCTCGCCTGTTGCCAAGATGGCATCTGTTAGACTTCTTCTAGCCATTGCAGCCATTCGACATTGGCCTCTTCATCAATTTGACATCAAAAATGCATTTTTACATGGTGATCTTGAAGAGGAAGTATATATGGAGCAACCACCTGAGTTTGTTGCTCAAGGGGAGTTATCGAATATGGTTTGTAGGCTACATAGGTCTCTTTATGGTATTAAGCACTCTCCGAGAGCTTGGTTTGACAGATTCAGCACTAGTACAACAATTTGATATGGTCCGTATTGAAGCTGATCATTCTGTCTTTTATCGTCACTCAGCCCAAGGATGTATTTATCTTATTGTGTATGTAGATGATATTGTCATAACTGGTAATGATGAGCAGGGAATACTCCAGTTGTAACAACATCTCTCGAATCAATTTCACACAGAAGATCTTGGTAAACTCCGTTATTTCTTGGGTATTGAGGTAGCACAATCTAAAAATGGTTTTCTTAGCGGAAATATGCTATGGATATTTTGGAAGAAACATGTTTGTTGAACGCTAAACCAGTTGATACTCCTATAAATCCAAGTGTCAAACTACTACCCAATCAGGGGGAGTCTCTATTGGACTCAGGAAGGTATAGGAGATTGGTTAGAAAGTTGAATTATCTCACAGTCACTCTTCCAGACATTTCTTTTGCAGTCAGTGTGGTAAGCCAATTCTTAAATTCCCCTTGTCAGGAACACATGGATGCTGTTATCCGAATTCTGAGTTACATCAAATGTGCTCCTGGAAAAGGTTTAGTGTATGACGATAAAAGACATACTCAGATAGTTGGATACTCCGATGTTGATTGGGCAGGGTCACCAATTGATAGACACCCCTGGGTATTGTGTATTTGTTGGAGGAAACCTTATATCATGGAAAAGTAAGAAACAAAATGTAGTTGCAAGATCAAGCGCCGAGGCAAAGTATAAGGCCATGGCAATGGCAACACGTGAACTCATTTGGTTAACACAGTTGCTCAAAGAACTTCAAATTAAAAAAGCAAGACCAATGACACTTGTCTGTGATAATCAGGCTGCTTTGCACATTGCTTCAAATTCAGTCTTCCATGAGAGGACCAAACATATTGAGATAGACTGTCACTTTGTCAGAGAGAAGATTGAATCTGGCGATATCGTCACAAGCTTTGTCAACTCTAATGATCAATTGACAGATGTGTTTACAAAATCTCTTTGAAGCCCTATAACCAATTATATACGTAATAAGTTTGGTGCATTTGACTTATATGCTCAAGCTTGACGGGGAGTGTTGATAATTATATATGTATATGTATATAAAGATAATATTCTCTAGAATATTCTTTAGAATATTCTTTAGTGTATTCTAGAATAGGATATGATATCTATGTAATTAATATTAGGATTTGTATTTTCTCCTATATAATGCATCTTCCGCTGTGCTATTCAAACACACGGTTTATTCAAATATCTCTTAATCTCACGTATTTTAACAAAATGTATTTAATTTTCTTCATGTAAATGAGCTAATATAAATACTAACACACCACTAATTAAATTGTCATCTCCTCACAATATTAAGTAATTAATGTAAGGAAGGGTAGTTTTGGACATTAAGTGTGTATAGATTAATTGACATTTGCTTATATTTAGGGTTAAAAAGTTATGGACTTATAGAGGAGTAGAAGTTAATGCTAGTTATAATTTCTCTTCTTGTAAGTTGTACATATGTATAGAAATATATGCTCTTGCCGGGTATATTACTCTATCATTTTGAAAATATACCATATTTATTCTCAAGTATGTTAAATTGGATATAGGTTTGTAAGAACAACTCAGGCAGCATGGTCGCTGTCTCTTGAATGATTGAATCTTTACTTTTCTTCTCCAACATGACATAATTCTGATTTGATCTATAGAGAAAAGGAATGTTCAAACTGCTCATTTATTTGAAGCATAGTTGTTCTTTAAATAGGTCTTTGGTGTTGGAATGTGATTTGATTTTTCCGTTTATCAATAAACTGGAGAATTTAATTGTTAAACCGAGTTCCATTTGTTTTTTAGACATTTTCCTACTCCATTCACTATCTTTTATCATCCTTGTAGTTTTCTCCAAAAAAAAAAGGATATTCCATTTCCTATTAGCCTTGTGTGTAGAAATATGTTTGTAGAACTATGTAATATGATAGATTAAATGCTTCCTGATTTTGTATCTATTATCTTATTATGAAACCAAATTGTTGCAGGTCGGTGCTCTTGAGGGAGATGAAGAGTTGACACCTCTTGGGCATCATCTGGCTAAACTACCCGTTGATGTATTAATTGGGAAGGTATACATGCATTACTCTTTACTCTTTCATTCCTCTTAATTGGGAAGATATACTTTGGTGGGTGGCTTGAATGGGATAGGCTCAGATACAATATTAAGTTTAATTCATTCTTACCATAATAAGCAGATCTGATTCTCCTTAGTATTGTATAGATTTTCCTTAGTTTCCTGTAATTAGAATAGATTTGATTTATTCTTATTTTAGTAAATACCCATTTTCTTATTTAGGGTAGATTAGCTACAGCATGTATATTATTTACAACCTTAATTACTTGAAAATTGGAAAATAATTTAGACCTTTTTCCTGGAATTATATTTCTCTTTTCAAGTGATATAAGGTTGATGGGCCAGCCACTAACAATGGTGTTTTTGTGACTGCAGATGATGGTGTATGCTGCAATTTTCGGTTGCTTGTCACCTATTCTTTCAGTTTCCGCATTTTTAAGTTACAAGTCTCCGTTTGTGTATCCTAAGGATGAGGTCTTCTATCCTACCAGTTCTTTGAAAAATATTTAGTCTGGTTAACTATATATTTGACTTCAAATTAAATGTTGTGGGTCTTCTTCAGAAGCAGAATGTTGAAAGAGCAAAACTAATATTGTTGAATGAAAAGCAAGATGGGCCTGGTGACGTAAATGATATTGATAAGCAATCTGATCATTTACTTATGATGATAGCCTACAAAAGATGGGAGACTATTTTGAATGAGGTCAGTAAGTGATTCTGATTTGTTTTTTAGGCACACTCTCTAATTAATGTTTAGATCACCTTGGTTGAGGCACATACTATCTAACGTTATATTGCTTTCTCACTACTATTAATGATATCAAAAAATGGGATTGCATATGAAGCAGCCTTGTAAGTAGAAATGACTATCGTGCATCTTACCAATAAGTAGTGTCCTTGTGAGGAAAAATAAGTAAATAAATAAATAGAGAATCTGACCTTGCTTATCATAATCATCATGAGACTTTAGCTGCGCATATACTTAACTGTTAGCTGTAAGAATGCATACAAATCTATGCATAAGAACTTGTTGAGAAGTCTCATATTGGATGGATATGGCCTAGAAACGTCTTTATAAGTAGGGGCAGTGCTCACTTTATAAGTCGGTTTTGTAAGAATTGAGTTTAAGCCAAATTCAAATTCTAAGAGAACTATCATATTTTCAAGACATATATTTCATTGTAGTATTCCATTCTCTCAGAAAAATATTGCTTCCTTTTACATCTGCAGAAAGGAGGTAAAGCTGCACAGCAATTCTGCAATTCATATTTTCTGAGCAGCCCAGTAATGTTTATGATAAGGTATAAGGTATTCTATACCATTTACTGCATCTTATTCAAGAGAATGGGGCTAAACTTCAAAGAAGTCTTTTTTTTTTTTTTAATTTAACGTGTGTATTGAAATGGTAATTTAACGTGTAACTGATTTGGGTCTTTGGAACCTCAACAATAATGTATGTTAAGGACATGCCAAAAGGCAAGTTACTAAGCTTTTTTCTTTTTTGTGAATTGTATTTTCTATAGCAACACTTCTTAAGAACATGATTTATGTGTGACAGGGAGATGAGGATACAGTTTGGAACTTTGCTAGCAGACATTGGTCTCATTACTCTTCCAAAATTTAATCAGGTTTGCTGCCTTTTCTAATTTAGTACTCCCTCCATCCCAAATTATAAGACATTTTAGACATTTCACACGAATTAAGAAATGTAATTAATTTTGTATGGGAAAGAGAAATTATGTATGACTTTACAATATTGCCCTTCATTTATTACATGTGAAAGAGAAATTTAAGGAGTTGAAAGAAGAAATAGTAATAAATGATAGAGAGTATATGGGGAAAAATATCATTAATGTTGCTTGGATTTGTTAAGTGATTATAGTTTAGGATAATTTTTTTTTTTGCAACGTGATTTATAGTTTGGGACAGATTGCTTATGAAGTAGGATAGGTAACAAAGACTCCAAGAGTGCTCCTCTCGGCAGGTACTCCCCAGACAAACCTGGAGTACTCTTCTAGGTCTAGGGTGGAGTGCTTCTATCTTAAGGAAGCTGAAAACCTAGTAAAAGGAAAGAATAACAACGTAATAAATAATAAATACAAAATATATTTACTATCAACGGTAATTAAAAAGTTGTGTTACACTATTTACATTATTATAAATATTCTTTTATATGTCTTCTACATTATTACAAAGTATGTTTACTATCAACTATAATTAGAAGATTATATGTGAGAATTCTTTATTGGTAATATTTGGATTTCTAATCTGGACGACCACTACAGGTGGATGGCAAAAGGATAGGGAGTCTTGACAGATGGCTTTCTGATGCATCACAACCATTTAATATTTATGCACATCACTCTTCGATTCTGAAGGTAAGGTTTGGAAGTATTTAGTTGCAACTTTTAGGCAATGCTTGTTTCTTTTTCATCTAAGCATTAAGACGATGTTCTGTGATTCTCTCTCTTGGGCATTTGTTTATGTTCTCCATGTTATGTTTAATGCATGATGTCATTTCTATCAGTGTTCTTATTGAGTTTGTTCCATGACTTTGTCTATCACTTTTGCAGTATCCTGAGTGTAGATCGTCATTTTTTGTTTTTCCTTTTTTTTTTTCTTTTTAAAATATTTATTCTCACCCGTTGCAAATGTCTCAGAGATTGCTTGTCACTTTGTACCTTGAGATTGGAATATATTACCTTTATTACTGTTGAAGATTAGCACATATCATATCATAATCATTTGATTCTGATTTGTCAAGCTGATACAAAACAGTGGTGTAAATAGATTTATTATCTATTATTGTCATTTCCCTATTTAGATAGAAGCAATTATAGGAAATTATTTCTCCGTTTATTAATAAATTAGTGCACTGTATTCTATATATACCTCAAAATGTAGTTCCAACATCAATGAAATATACAACATATTTCTATATGGTATCAGAGCACAAGATCTGAACCATCCCTAAACCTTGAGCACCACCCATGGCAGATACTAGAGCAGAAAATTCAGCCAACAGTTTGGCTGAAGGACATGCTCTTCCTATCACTGGTCACAAATTGAATAGCCAAAATTACAATCAATGGGTACGCTCAGTCAAAATCTACCTTCAAGGAAAAGGGAAGGAAGGTTATATCACAGAGACTCCAAGTGTCCAAAAAAGGGGGATTCCAACCTTGAAAAATGGCAACTAGAAAACAGTCTAGTAATGTCATGGCTGGTAAACACCATGACAAATGAAGTTGGAGAAAATTTCTTGTACTATGACACTGCCAAAGAGATGTGGGATGCCGTAAAGGAAACCTACTCTAATGTCGACAATACATCTGCAATTTTTGAAATCAAGAGCATACTCCATGACTTGTGTAACACCCTCTAAAAACTCCGAATAAATTTTCGCGAATAATTAAAATTATAATTTCAGAGTACATGTATCAGCGAGGATGTCACAATTCTCTTTTAATAAAAACAAGTTCCTGTCATGCATAATCATAGTAGTAACTCATACATGTTTACACAGCGGAATAATTTAATTAATAAAACCAATGTTATAATATTTTCAAAATCATCAGGGATTAACACCTGGAAAATGTCAACCTCATATTATAACAAACAAAGGAAAATAAACGAGTCTGACTAAAGCAGCTCGACAAACAAACGTTCCCGGAGTTACAACTACCAGAGCATGACCCGGACAATACTAAAACGGAAATAAACTAGAAATGACAAGCCTTCGCCAAGCACCTGAACGAAGCTCCTCAATCTGAAATATTCAACAGTAAGGGTGAGCATCTCAACTATACATTTGATTATACGTTCATAACAATCAATTCAGGAAACCATAAGCATCACCCCACAATTAGCATGTTTCATAGATTACAAAAACCTTTACAATCCATATATTCATAATATCATACTTTCCATGCTTACTTATTAACATCAAACATCGTTAACAACTTAGTATCAATACATGCATACAATCAATCAAATACAACATTGGAAAAATCATCCATTCATGTCATATTCAATGTAATGCAACACACCCATGCATGTGGTACCATTTTACCGCCCCATTAAATCTCGGGTCACGGATAACTCACCGTTCCATTATATCGCGGACACGGCTACCACCTCAACGTTCCATTAAATCGCGGACACGTATATTGGCCACCATGTTAATTCCACACAATGGGAATTAACAAATGCAACATGATATGTAAAGTATGTAACACTCAGCATACTATTAACATCAATCGACATATCATGCAACATCAACAACATCAAACATAACATGATATGTAAAGTATGTAACACTCAGCATACTATTAACATCAATCGACATATCATGCAACATCAACAACATCAAACATAACATGATATGAATAGCATGTAATCACTCAGCATACTATTAAACATCATTCATATCAAGTTATATCGTAATTCATGCTTGATAACATCATCTAAAAGCATGACAATAAAATCCACATAGTGTTGGTATCATAACATACAATCGTTATTCGATACACGCATCAATCAACACTAGGAAAATCAATAAACAACATATTCAAAACATGTCAAACACTGCACATCAAAACAGGATCAATCCGTACATAACAGCATGCACAGAAAACATAGTTTAAAAACCAACACAGGAGGTTTAACACGGGTGCCCGTGTAAAACAACACTGCCCGTGTGGAAATGTGTCCAGAAAACACGTTTTTTTTTTACAATACAGGGGATCAACACGGGCGCCCGTGTAAATCAACACGGCCCGTGTTGAATTGTGCCCAGAAAACCCATTTTTATGCCAACACAGTGAATCAACACGGGCGCCCGTGTTAATCAACACGCCCGTGTTGAATTGTGGCCAGAAAACACATTTTCATCAGCATTACAGTGAATCAACACGGGTGCCCGCGTAAATCAACGCGCCCGTGTTGATGAGTGCGAACCCAATTTTTCTGTTTTTGCAGCAGCTCATATACCCATATTTTTGCACGAAAATACCTCTCTACGGCGGTGCAATATAGTACAAAGACATCCAATCCATCATAGGAACCTAAAATCCCTAATTGATTCATAAAATCGGGAACTTAAACCTTTTCTAACAAAGTTCAATCCTAAGGGTATCGATCCCTAATAACATCTAATAATTGGGGTTTCTCCCTACGATTACCCAAATCAACCGTACATAAACCCATAAGCAAAAGTAAATTGAGTATTAGCCCCCCTTACCTTATCAATTTGCAGCTTGAGTTCTTGAGCGATGTTCTTCGTCTTCTCACCTTCAGAGCTCTATTTCCCCAAATCCTAAATTTTCTGTGTTATCGTGAATAATGAGAAAAATAGCTTAAGTTCCAAAACATATCTTTATTTCTCTTGCACCCCCACTCTTCACTAACAACATCCAAGCCCAATACTTAAAAGAAACCCATATTTCCTATTTCTTTTATTTTCTTCCAATATTCCAAAATAAATAATTCCTTTTTATTTTATTAATTCAAATAAAATAATTTTCCAATTAAATAAATCAAATAATTGAAACTGGGGTGTTACAACTTGCGTCAAGATGACCGCTCAGTCACAGTATTTTAATACTCTCAATCGTCACTGACAGCAATTGAATGTATATGATGAAGTTGAATGAAGTTGCACAGAGGATAAAAAAAGTACAAAGAATTAGTGGAGAAAGATAGAGTCTACAAATTTCTCTTAGGTTTGAACACAGAACTTGATGAAGTTTGTGGGAGAACCCTTGGAACCAAACCTCTTCCAAATTCGAGAAGCATTCTCGGAAATACGAAGAGAGGAGAGCAGGAGAAAAGTGATGCTTGGAAAATCCAGTACAGCCCCATCTATAGAAGGATCTGCAATGGCAGCAAGGGGAGATCAACGATCTTTCCAAAAGGAAACTCGGCCTTGGTGTGACAACTGCAAGAAACCGGGTCATACCAAGGACACATGCTGGATCATTCATGGAAAACCATCAGGGGTAAAATGGACCAAAAACTGGGACAGCAGAGGGAACACAACTGAGGTAAATTCTCACTCATCACCATTCAACAAGGAGCAAATGGAAGCCTTACAAAAAATGCTTCAACAAACAATTGGTACAGCTACTGTGGCACAAAAAGGTAACTTTTTGCATGCTCTAAACACTAGCAGGGAAAACAAAAATCATGGATTATTGATTCAGGAGCATTTGATCACATGACTGGAGATTTGACTGTCTTTGATAGCTATTCTCCATGTCAAAATAATTCGACTGTTCGAATTGCTGATGGTACCCTTTCTAAGGTCATGGGTAAAGGTTCAGCCATTATTTTACAAAATATTACTCTTAGTTCAGTTCTGTATGTGCCTAAACTTGATTGTAACTTGCTGTCCATCAGTAAACTTACAAAGGATTTGAAGTGTATCACTAAATTCTTTCCTAACCTGTGTGAATTTCAGATTTTGGAGTCGGGGAGGACGATTGGCAATGCTAAAGAATGTGTTGGACTCTAAATCCTTCAGGCTGAAGCATCTAAATCGAATCTGAGGCAGCCTCTTGCGCTGTAGTTTTTGCATGTAGTGAAAATTCTGCAATGGTGTGGTACTATAAACTAGGCCACCCAAATTTTATGTACTTGGAAAAAATGCTTCCTAAACTATTCAATAAAAATCAGAAGTTGTTTCAATGTGAAATTTGTCAATTGTCCAAACATACACGTAGTCCCCACCCACCTCATCCCTATAAACCTTCCAAACCTTTTTATATTATTCATAGTGATGTATGGGGACCATCGCGGGTCAGAAATGTAACTGGAGCAAGATGGTTTGTCACCTTCACTGATGACCACACATGGATCAGTTGGGTCTATCTTATGAAAGATAAATCGGAAGCTGGTAGGATATTTGAATGTTTCCATACCATGGTGGAAACACAATTTCAAAGCAAAATTAGAGTGCTTAGGAGTGATAATGGTCGTGAGTACAATAATTCTGCACTAAGCTCATACTTTACGCAACATGGATAATACACCAAACCTCATGTGTGGATACACCTCAGCGGAACGGAGTTGCCGAGAGAAAGAATAGACACTTCCTAGAAGTAACCCGGTCTCTCATGCTAGCTACAAATGTACCTAACCAGTTTTGGGGAGAAGCTGTCCTCTCTGCAACCTATCTAATAAACAGAATACCTTCCCGAATCCTTAACTTTCATACGCCTTACTCCACTCTCCAAACCTTATACCCAACCAATCGTATTCTTACATCTATTCCTTTGAAAATATTTGGATGCACAATCTTTGTCCATAATCTTGATCCCCGACGCAGTAAACTTGACCTGGAATCCATTAAATGCATATTCCTCGGCTACTCTCCTCACCAAAAGGGATACAAATGTTATTCACCTCAAAACAAAAAATTCTACCACACCATGGATGTAACCTTTTTTAGAATCAGCCATATTACCCCAAAGTTGACATTCAGGAGAAGAACACCTTTCCAATTGAAGTGGTAGAATCCCAACTTTTGGAACTTGAACTAACTGAACTCAAACTCACTGCAAAGGCATCAAAACCTACACCTGAACCAAATGAAAATGCAACAGAAACTGCAGAACCTACGTGTGGATCAGATGAAACTACGTCTGAAAATACAGAGGAAATTGCAGTAGAAACTGCAGCCCCTACAACAGAAATTGCACCAGGAAATAACGTGAAAGTGTACTCCAGGAAGAGCAAGAAGGGAATAGAGTCTTGCACAGCTCCAAGGCAGAACTAAGAATCCTCCAAGACTCCAGAAAATGGCGTTCCCTCAGGTAATACTGCTTATAACTCTGAATGTTGATGATATTGATATTCCTATTGCGTTGAGAAAGAATGTAAGGTCCTGTACCAAACATCCGATTGAAAGATTTGTATCTTATGGAAAATTGTCCCAAAGTTACAAGACCTTTGTAACAGCTCTTGACAATACACATATTCCAAGCAACATCCATGAGGCACTCCAAAATTCTGAATGGACAACAGCCGTAATGGAAGAGGTTTAGGCCTTAATTAAGAATGGCACTTGGGAGTTCACAAGCCTACCTGCAGGGAAGAAGCCGGTAGGATGCAAATGGATATTCTCCATGAAGTATAATGCAGATGAGAGTGTAAATCGGTACAAAGCTCGACTTGTAGCAAAGGGATTTACTCAATCATATGGAGTAGATTATGAAGAGACCTTTGCACCGGTGGCAAAACTAAACTCTGTTAGAGTTATTCTCTCTTTGGCTGCAAATTTAGATTGGTCACTCCATCAACTAGACATCAAGAATGCATTTTTAAATGGTGACCTAGAAGAGGAAGTTTATATGCAGATTCCTCCTAGACTCGAATCATCCAGCACCGCAAATATGGTGTGCAGGCTCCGAAAATCCCTTTATGGCCTCAAGCAGTCTCCAAGGGCGTGGTTTGATAGATTGACTCGAGTTGTCAAGAAAGACGGGTTCAACCAATGTCAATCAGATCACACTATGTTTGTTAAACACTCCATGGAAGGAAATGTAGCTTTGTTTATTGTTTATGTGGATGATATCGTTATTACAAGAAATGATTATGATTAAATTGATCATTTAAAGGGACTCTCTTGGCAAAGGAATTTGAAGTTAAGGACTTCGGTCAACTTAAGTATTTTTTAGGGATGGAAGTTGCTCGAACAAAGGATGGTATCTATGTATCACAAAGGAAATACACCCTTGACTTGCTTCAAGAAACTAGAATGCTTGGGTACAAGGCAGTTAATACACCAATAGAACAAATAAAAGGAAGAGAAGATGAAAGTCCACCAGCCGACAAAGATAGATATCAAAGTCTAGTTGGGAAACTAATCTACCTATCTCACACTAGGCCCGACATTGGGTTCGTTGTAAGCTTGGCTAGTCGCTACATGTCAAATCCAACCGAGTCTAACATGAAAATGGCGAATAGAATCCTCCAATACCTCAAAGGCACACCAGGCCGAGGCCTCCACTTCAAGAGGAATTCAAACAGGGACATTGAAGTTTATACAAATTCAGATTGGGCAGGATGCTCCACAGACAGAAAATCGACTACAGGTTATTATTCATTTGTGTGGGGGAACCTAGTAACTTGGCGAAACAAGAAACAATCTGTAGTGGCAAGAAGTAGTGCAGAAACAGAATTTAGAGCTATGGCACTAGGTATTTGTGAAGGAATGTGACTTAAGAGCATGCTAGATGAAATCAAAATTCAAGTGAACCATACTATAAGGTTACTATGTGATAACAACGCTGCTATAAGCATTGCAAAGAACTCAGTCCAACATAATAGAACAAAACATGTGGAAATTGACCGACACTTCATTAAAGAAAAAATTGATCATAAGATTATAAGTATTGATCATATCCCATCATGCAAGCAAACTGCAAATATCTTAACCAAGGCTCTTCCAAGCAATACTTATGAAAATATCAAATCCAATCTGGGTATGATAGAGATCTACCACCCAGATTAAGGAGGAGTGTTGAAGATTAGCACATATCAAATCATAATCATTTGATTCTGATTTGTCAAGCTGTTACAAAACAGTGGTGTAAATAGATTTATTATCTATTATTGTCATTTCCTTATTTAGGTAGAAGCAATTATAGGAAATTATTTCTCTGTTTATTAACAAATTAGTGCACTGTATTCTATATATACCTCAAAATGTAACAGTTCCAGCATCAATGAAATATACAACATATTTCTATAATTACCATTCCAAATATCCCCAATTTAAATCATAGCTTTAATCAGTGTTTTAAAACCCAGCCCGACCCGGCCGGTCGGACCGGTCTGATCGAGAACCGGTGGGTCAGGCGGTCCGATTAAGGGATAAGACCGGAATTACATTTAGACCGGATGAAACCGGTGTGAACCAGCCGGATCACCGGTTAAACCAGTGAACCGACAGTTTTTACTGAACCGGCGGGTTTGACTATTTATTTTATTTTTTTGGGCTTTTGAAAAAAAAATTAACATAAACGCTTTGCCTCCTCGTTTCCCAAACCTAGGCATTTGAAAGGTTTTCTTTTTTATTCTGTCTTTTCTTTTTCTAATTGAAGTCATATTCTCAATTTTCTCTACCAACAAAAACTCCCACTTGCTGCTGTTATTTGATATTCCTTGTTTGTCGTCAAAAATTTCATCAAAACATCAAAAACAGGTTATTTCTTTTTTACTTGGTCTAATTTGCATTGATGTTTTTCAATATGAATATTATTGTTTCATTTTGTTGATTAATTGATATAGAAAAAAAATGATTAAATTTGATCATTTTCTATAAAATTGGGTCTTTTAGTTTAACAAATTGAGATAGAATTTGTATGAATGAAGCAGTTTTATACTTTTATGAATTAACTTATTATAGACGGGTAATGAAGTTGTTGTATATTGGAGATAGAAATTGGGATAGATATATATTACTGTAATAGTCGTTGTATATATTATGGAGATAAAAATTGGGTTTAAAACTATGTAATCTAAATTATATAGTAAGACAAAGTTTTCTGTTTTTTATTAATTTAAATTATATAACAAAGAAAAGTTTCAGGATAATTTAAATTATTCTAAATTATTTGAATTTATAATTTTCTATATTATTATAGTTACAAATTTCAGGTAATGAATATATTTTTTATAGAAATCGGGTCAAAAGCCATGCGGTCTGATCAGTGACCCACTGGTCCGACCAGTAACCCAGTGACCCAGTAACTTTACCGAGTCGATCACCGGTCTGGGTTTTAAAACATTGGCTTTAATTGTTATTACTTTCCAGCATGCATTGAATGGAAAATATCAATTAAATTGAAGGATTTATGCGCAAAATTCTGCAAAATTAAAGCATGTTACATTTTTCAATTGTTACTGGGTCTTGTCAATTTCCATGATAATCTGAATATTTGTATCTTTCTTTGGATTTCACTTTGCTTGTCCCTGAAACTATTTTTTATGCAATCTGTCTTACATATCTAGAATACTAATAACAGTTCTTATTACCTATCATTTGAAAGAGTAATACATTTTTCCTTTTGAGGAAATACTTGTTGGGCATCTATGTTCATTTCTGAGACAAGGGTACAAGGCCACTCATTCTGTAAAGCCTCCTATTTCTTGACCTATCCTATACAGAAGTGATGTTGAAAATATGATGAGCAAATATCTCCATGGGATATTATTTCAACCAAAGATTTGAATGTACCGTTGCAGGCTATACTATGTGCAGGTTTATACCCTAATGTAGCAGCTGGTGAACAAGGTATTGTTGCAACTGCTCTCAGCAGCCTTAAGCGGTCTCCTAGCTCTGTGAATTCTAGTCGTACATTCTGGTTTGATGGAAGAAGAGAAGTTCATCTCCACCCATCTTCTATCAACAGTAACACAAAAGTATTCAAGCACCCTTTTCTTGTCTTCCTTGAAAAGGTTTGTAACTTATTTACATAACTTTGTTAAGTAACCTGTTTAGCTTAAAATGTTTCTTCTCTAACATAAGTTGGAAATGTATTATCTCTTTGAATCTGTTCATTTAGTTTGTTGTTTTAAAATCAATGTAATATTTAAAATTTAATAAACTTTAACTCAGAATATAGGAAAATATATTATAATATTTAACTTAAGGGTGAGTATTAGAATATAGGAAAATATATTATAATATTATGGGTCAGTTTATTTTCTGATTACCTATCAATGACAAAAATGTTAAAATTGTCAGGTTGAAACGAACAAAATATTTCTAAGAGATACTTCAGTCATTTCTCCATACTCAATTTTGCTCTTTGGAGGGTCAATCAATGTTCAGCATCAGGTACATGTTCTGTTACTCTATTCTCAAATAAATGATGCTTATGGCAATGCTTAGATGGACAACATCTACCCCAATTGGTGGTCCACCATGAACTACTAAACCCTGGATTTGTCATCATGTGGTAGAAAAACCATGTGGCAAATTTATTTTATTATTCGGAGCACCTAAATTAAACAAGAAAAAGCATTTTTTATAGATTGTTTAATGCTGCTCTTTCAAAAGTGTAATTCTTGTTTTCTTTTATAACTTTCTTTCCTTTACACAATAGACTGGACTGGTCATCATCGATGGATGGTTAAAATTGAATGCACCTGCCCAAATAGCTGTCTTGTTCAAAGAGCTACGATTGGCTCTACATTCCATTCTGAAGGAGCTTATTAGAAAACCAGAGGTGCCATTTTATAGCTATATTCCTTTTCTAATGATATTTTGAATTGAGTTGAAGTTTTCCCATTGCCCATACTGTTTCTCTTATCCTTTTCATTGATTTTAATGCATCAAAGTCTACCTTAATCTTGTTAATATTTCATTTTAAGCTATTTCTTTTGTTTTGTTCTAGTAACAATACCATCATTTTTTGTTTTCTTTCAGAATGTAATCGTTCTAAACGACGAGATCATTAAGTCTATCATCAATCTGCTTTTAGAAGAAGGCAGTGTGCCTAAATGATTGAGCATCAGAGTCGTGTGGAAGAAAACTGTATCTGCTCTGCACTGCCGGCACTCGATCATTTTGTTTGAGTAAAAGAAGCTGAGCCTTCTCCTGGACCATTGAGTATGAACTGAACCTCAACAATAATCATGTCTGCACTTTAAATGTGGTAAAGGGATGGCATATTCATTTTCTATGTAGGCAGAGCAGAGGCTTTATTGAAGCATGGACAGAGTGATTATTTGTACAATATTGGCCTTGATGCCAACCCTATAGTTTGTTTAGGATGTTGTGCTTGAGAGTATCTTTGGACTCAAATATCTTATGTGGTGTAATGTGATTCGATGCATGTGTAAACAATTTTATACTAAAGATACAAATCAATTAAACTCATAAAAATATATGTATTATTGCATGTGTGCAAGTTTGAGAAACAATGGTTTTCCAACATGAGAGAATTGCATCATCATGCATGATTTTCAAATTCCAATTGCATCATCATGCATGATTTTCAAATTCCAATTGCATCATCATCATGCATGATTTTCAAATTCCAATTGCATCAAGCAGCTGAGAATGCTGAGACACTGAAACTAGTGAATTGGCTACAATTGCACCACTGGCAGCAACTGCAGGGACTCCAATGCCAGGAAAAGTGGAATCTCCACAACAATAAAGGTGTGGTATTGTAGTTGAATGTCCAGGAAAGGTATCTTTACCAGCTTTGACAGCTGGTCCATATGTTCCTCTGTTCCTCCTGAGAAATCTTTCATGTGTCAGTGGACTTCCAACTAACTTCACTTCACATTTCTCCCTGCTGAAACCTGCTCCCACTGCTCTCTCCACCGCTCTCCACATTATCTGTTTGTTGTTTCAATAATAATCATCAATTAAAAACAGATATTATTATACTGCCTGTTGTTCATTCATTCAATTTAATTTATATACACACCTCTGATCTTTGAGCTTTAAGATTTCTGTATTCAGCACTCCTACGATCAAGTCCTTCCCACAACTCAAATGGTTCAGTTCCTGGAAGATAAGCATGTAACACATGTTTTCCACTAGGCGCCAGATTAGGAGTAAGCACACTAGGCACTGATATCAGCACAACGTTCTGATCTGCGTCAACTCCTCTTTCCCAATCATTTACAACTATATGATGAATTCCCAGGTCATCTCGTATGCCCTGTTCACTCAAAGTTGAATATTTCAAATAGATGGAAAGTGAAAGATATAAATACAAAAACTCACCTCTGCATCAAATCCCAAATGGAGATGCATGAACGATTCACACTGGCGAGTGGTATTAATCCTATCTGATTCAGACTTTTGAACAATTTCTTCAGGTAGCAATTTTAAAGTATCCCACATTGATGCATTGCTCACGACAGCCTTCTTAGCACGTATGAACTGCACCAGTCATAACTTGAACATAAAAGTTCATCTTTGTACCCTATTCTCATCATCAATATTCAAAGTTAATATACTAGTGTACTCACTTGACCACTTCTCAGCTTCACTCCAACGGCTCTGTCGTTTTCAACAACAATCTTTTCCACATGACTTTGAAGAGAAATCCTTCCACCAAACTTCTCTAGTCCTCGTACAAGAGCATCAATAATACCTGCGGATCCATCTAGGGGGTACTCAAGACAGCCCCCTGGTTTGTACCATTCTGCAAACATGTAAACCTGAGAGAAGGGGGAACAGCTATTAGCAACGTAACAAGGCTGCTCAAGAATGATGTAATAATACAAATAAATACCATCTCTGCAGAAAGTATACTATCAGATTTGACACCAGCAAGCAAGAAAGAGAGTAGGTCAATCCAATTTCTTATAAAAGGGTGTTTGAGTTCCAAAGAATCAAGTATTTGGGAGAAAGGCGAGAGAAGCTGTGTGGATCGAAGAGCAGCCTGAGGACCCATTTGTAAAAAGGTATTGAAAAGAGAAGGAGCATATCTAGCAGCAGCAGTATAAAGAACACCGAAATCTCCCCTAATAGATAGAGGGGGAAGAGCCATTGCAGCTGTAGACAAGGGACGTATAGCATCCTGTGGAAAAAAACAGAAACAAGAGTTGCTTAATACATAAGACAGAAGCACATGTTAAACAAGAGTTGCTTAATACATAACACAGAAGTGCTTAATACATAAGACAGAAGCACATGTTAAACAAGAGTTGCTTAATACATAACACAGAAGCACATGTTTGCAGCAAGTAGCAAGAGAAAAGAACTGACTAAAAGTTTCTGCCATTCTTGAACAGCTTCAGGACCAGCACAGTTTTGAAGATCCTTTAAAAACTCAGTAGGACCTATGCGAGACAAGAAATCAGCTTCAGGTACATAGACCATCCATGAATCATAAGTAGCACATGGGACAGACTCTCCCAATGCATCAAGAACTTGAGCAAGAGGGTTTGCCTGAGGTCCTCTTGACTGCAAACCAGAGAACAAGGATGGACCTGAATCAAACTTATATCCTTTGACGTCAAAAGAATGAGCAGCACCTCCAGCAACGTCGTGACTTTCAAGAACCACAACATTTTGTTCGTATCTTGCCAACAGTGCTGCACAACTCAGTCCACCAATACCACTCCCAATCACAATTACATCTGCTTCTGCTTTCATGCTGTTCCGCACCACAGCTCTGCTTTTCCCAATTTGATGAATTCTTGAGCACTGTTTTCTCACTCTCATAACGTTACAAGGAAACACACCAACACCCCTCATCGTACTCATGGCCCAAGAACCACCAAATCTACTGTTATGTTATTTCTTTTAAGTTCCAAACTCCGCCACGTCACTGCCCCAATATCACTTCAACTTAAAATTCACTCTAATATCGTACGATAATGTTTTAACAATTAAACCATTTATCTCTCCACATATTAATTTTAAATGTTAACATTCTTTGATAAAGCTATTTTCAAACTAAAAGATATAGGAAAAAGAATATCCAACTTTGGTTCCAATCATAAATAACAAAATGTAACAAACGAGTCTTATATTTATTAAAATGATTCTAACTAATTTATACTATGAAAACAACATGGATATCTACTTCGCGTGCATTTTGGGCACTTTCGACCTTAAAAGTTATTCAAGAAAAAGATCTACGGTTTGATTTGGTTCGGTTACTTTTTAGAAAAAAATCAAATCAAATTAATATGGTTTGATTTGGTTCGATTCGATTCGGTTGATTTGGTTTTTTACAAATGATATAACAACATAACTTTATATTTAGTCATTCATACACTTCAAAATAACAACAAAACTCATTATATTTAAACAACAACTTTTCATTTAATATGTAAAAAATTAGACAAAAGTGGAATAATAAACATAAAATAATAGCTTAAAACAATAACAAAAATATTATAATAGAAAAAAAATAGAAGAGATGAGAAATTAGTAAAGATGAAAAAGAAAGAAACATAAAAAATGAGAGATTAGAGAAGAACATGTGTGATAAAAACGAAATTGAAATAGAGAATATTTGTATAAAAATAAGAAGGTGAAAAAAGAAAAGAATATAAGAGAGTAGAGATTAGAGAGGAAGAAACAAAGTGTATGTGGAGAAGATGGCGCGATAATGATTGGAAAGATTTGAGAATACTGAAACTGAAATCATAAGTGTAAAGATAAGAAAATTGTTCGTAATCATAAGGTCAATGTATAATAGGTTTAAGTTTGGGTTAACGTGAGTTAAGTAAAATTTAAGTTGTAACATAATGCGATTTAATTCGGTTTGCAAAATACAAACTGCGTTGAACCGAACCGTGTAATTTTGTTAAAAGATGATCCAAAAACAAATCTAAACCAAATGCGATTTTTTACGACTTTGATTTTGTTTGATTTAATTTACGATTTTTTATTGGATTGGTTCGATATTTTAAATGTGACAAATAATCATATGGACAAAAGATAAATCCAGTCATTTTGATCATTAAGCATCTTAGAATATCATCGGTGAAAGTATCATTAGAGAGGTTGTCTAAAAGATTTTTCTGTTATTCTCTAAGTAATGCTTTCAACATTATCATTTACTCAGGAATTACGCAAGCTAGTTATCATATTCATCTAGTCAAATCAACGCTATATAGTTAACCATTAGATCCTCTATTTGGAAGATCAAGTTGTTATTCTCTAATAAATTTATTCTTTAGTGATCAATCAATCAAAATTTAGAAGTTCATTATATAGAGATTAACTTTGATGATTTTTCTATCTACCGAATTTAAATTTGACGAACAAGGATCTATAGTATAAAAGGTACAAATGTGACAATTCTAATATAAGTACATGGTTGTGAGGAAGTATACATTGGACCTCAACAACTCTTACCCCCAACATTTAGAATTCTTAATATATTTTCAATTTCTCTCGTAATTAAATACAATAGATAATCAATGAAGTTCAATGATACATTCTTTTGAGATACAGAGGAAAAGAAAAGAATGATCACTGTTAGAACATATAATCACATATTTTGATATATATATATATATATATATATATATATATATATATATATATATATATATATATATATATATATATATATATATATATATATAGAGAGAGAGAGAGATTTTCTTCATTACTATTATGAGATGCCTTCAAGGCATTTATACAAGTGTTATAAAATGATTGGAACATAAAACAATTCACTAAACAACAAGAAAAAACAAATTTATGTATGCGTAACCGATTAACAAAAATGGTTAATCGTTTAACACTACTATAACAAAAACAATAAAAATAGGTGTAATCGGTTAAAGTATTTGTGTGACTGGTTACCACAATGCAAAACAGTTTTTCTAGGCCACCAGAAGTGCTTATTTCTCAGCCGTAACCGATTACCACCCCATGTTAACAGGTTACAACACTTGAATTATTAATTTTCAACTAACACACCACTTTAATTCAAGTGCTTCAAGTCTTCCATGCTCATCTTCAACCTCTTGAACACATCATTTGTGACACATTTAGTCAACAAATCAGCAATTTGGTCTTCACTTCTACAATATCTCAATCTTAAATTGCCATCTCTTACAAGCTCCCTCAAGTAGTGAAACATCATCTCAATGTGTTTACTCCTCTCATGTGCAATTGAGTTCTTAGCCAGATTAATGGTTGAAACATTATCAATCAAGAGTGTGACAGCCTCATCCTCATTGTTGCCCAACTCTTCCCATAGATTCATTAGTCATATGACTTGGCACGCACATAACGAAGCGAAAATATACTCGGTCTCACAAGACGAGATTGAAACTTCCAGGTCCTTCTTTGAACACCGTGAGATTGATGTTCCACCGAACATAAAGATGTATCCGCCTGTCTTACGATCGTCTTTATCTCCGCACTAATTGGAATCGGTAAAACTAACTAAATTGCATTTGTTGCGGGAGAGAGAATTCTGCATGCAATAGATCCTTTGACATATCTTAGGATTATCTTGATTGCTGCCAAGGGAGACAATTTTGGTCTCTCCATGAATCTACTCACAATACAGACATAAACGTCAAATATAAGCGCGTATTACACAAATAACGTAATGATCTTACAAACTTTTATATTGAGCAGGATCAATATTCTACTCTTCTTCAATCTTGAACAGCTGCAACCTTGCTTCAGCTGGTGTAATGGTAGCATTTCAATCCTCCATATCACACCTATTCAATATCTCAATGGCATATCTCTTTTGATGCATAAACAGTCTCCTTTTTTACTTTTGGAACTCTATGCCAAGAAAGTATGTCATAATATCAAGGTCGCTCATCTCGAATTCATTCATAAGATCACTCTTTAAATTAGAAATACTCTTCTCGATGTTGCTTGTGATTAATAAATACTCCACATATAGACAAAGTATGATCAAACCTTCAATTACATTCGTCTTCACATAAACTCCATACTTGGACACACATTTCTTGAAGTCAACCTCAACTAGGAAACCATTTCTCCTTTTATTCCAAGCTCTCGGGGCTTGCTTAAAATCATATAACGCTTTTCTCAATTTTTAGAATCTTTCCACTTGGTTTTTTACAGCAAAACCAGGGGGGTGTTCTACATACACTTCTTCTTTAAGCGGGCCATTCAAAAACACATACTTCATATCCATTTGATAGATAACCCAATTGTTGTTATTCACAATACCAACAACTATCCTTATGGTTTCTATCCTAGCAACGGTTGCAAATACCTCATCAAAGTCTATGTCTTCTTTTTGTGAAAATCCCTTTACAACTAATCGAGCTTTATACTTGATTATTTCACCTTTGGAATTTTGCTTTACCTTATAGACTCATCTTACACCAATCAGCTTCTTAACTTTTGGTAGATCAACCAAATTCCAATTAATATTTTTCTCAATCGATTTCAGCTCCTCTTTCATTGCAAACACCCACTTTGGATCACTCAAGGCCTCTTCCATGTTAACAGGCTCAAATCCTGCCATAAGTGAAAAATAGAAGAAATCACCATCATCATTGATCTCATTATCCCAGAATATCTCACAATTTTGGAGTATTTGAGGAAAACCTCTTTGCCTAGTTCGTCATCTAACATTTTCCTCCGTTATGGCCTCGACACGCGGATGTTCAGCAACTTCAGATACCCCAAAATCCAAAAAATCATGCGTGAAATTGGTTAACATATTCTTGTAACTAGATAACGCATGCATGTAACTGATGAACATCTGCATGTGGCCGATTACAGGTTGTTCCACATCTTTAATTCATCCATTACGATGTCTCGGCTGATCATGGTCCTTCTGTTTTCAACATCAAACAGCTTATAACCTCCAGTAGGGTGATACCTAACAAGTATCATCATCTCACCTTTGTCATCCAACACAAAGGGGTGTCAAACTAAATTTTCATTCTATCAGAATATAATATTGACCACATGATTGTGGATATGTTATGGGTGATGAGGCATGGGTTGTCTAGCATAAAGTATTTGCGTTGAAGACATACTTCTTAATTTTGGTTGGCACGGGCATATTTGTGGGAAAAAGTGTGACCTGTATCGATTGTGTTTACATTAAATACTTCATGGAATTATAGATGATTCACGAGTACAAATGGTAATTTACTTACGCCATTACTAATATAATTTTACTAATATTAATCTATTTACACCTTTACAAATATTAATTTGCAATATTTAGGCTACATACTTACTGATATTTCATCTTAACCATTTTCAAGCACGATGTTGTACCCCAATTTTTGCTCCTAAGATCCTTTCATCATATCAGATCAATTCAATCACAACAAAGTCACACATTAGGATTGTTTCTTCTCCCTATTTTTAGTCTTACTCTGTGGGGAATCATCAAGCACCTTGACTTGTATTTTATGATCATCTATGTTTGATTACTCTTTAACTAACAAATACAATATATGTGTATCCTAATTGTTAATGATGTAGGTGAAAGCATAATGTATTCCATCAAAGTTAGCTTTTAGATTCATAAGTTCCTTCTTTGTGCCTTCCTCAACAAAGTTTCATTGAGATTCAAGACTCTATGAAAGATATTTTGAAGTAACATCATGAAAAAGTATTTCATGATTCATTATGCCTCAAGTTGTCAAAGTCAGCTTAAAAGTACAAGGGTTGACTAAAGAAGTTTGACTCAATTGGACAAGTCTTTGTCTCCATTGATCACAAGTGCATATCTCCTTCAATTCTCAAGATATGGAAGTGATGTTGGTTGCTATGACTTCTAATTA